AGGGTGAGGATGAGGGTGAGGGTGATGGTTGAGGGTGAGGAGAATGAGGATGAGGGTGAGGACGAGGGTGAGGACGAGGGTGAGGGTGAGGGTGAGGAGAATGAGGATGAGGGTGAGGACGAGGGTGAGAGTGAGGGTGAGGGTGAGGAGGATGAGGGTAAGGATGAGGAGGATGAGGGTGAGGATGAGGGGAAGAATGGAGTTCAGAATTGGCGATTGTCTTTCGGTGCGTGTTCATTTTCGCATGGGGCTGATAGGGATTGGCTTTGGTCTTATTATGACCTTCTTGAGCAGTATCTGCCTGATTGAGAAGTATGGTGAGTAGAGGGTTGACTGTTTGGGGCTATAGATGAAGAAAAAAACAAAAAAAAAAGAGGAAAAGAAAAAACTAAAAAAAAAAAAAAGAAAAAGGGGAAAAAAAAGAGACTGTATAGGTAGGATCAAGGGAGGAATAGCTAATAAGATGAGCCAAATTTTAGTAAGGATCACTAGTTATAGTTTTTTCTATCCTACTTTGTATAGCTAAGGACCTTCGTTGAGACGTCGGTAACTCCCTGGTATGAAGCCTGGCTTTATTGTCTGCCAAGACGGCGCCAGGCTGAGACGGGGTCGACCAGGGATGAGCTCAGATTGCCGGTTGTTCACCAGAACGCCATTGGTCGCGGTCTGTCGATCACCCGCCCATCGGGCCGTCACCTGCTTGACGCGTTGGGAAAAGCTTCTGCTGCAGGTCTCAGCTCCTGGGGACCAGAGTGAACAAAACACTGCTCATGACTGGCTGACGGCTTTCATTGACGCACAACCAGCCATTGGTAATTGGTGATAGCGCCGAGTTGCAGCTCCAAGCTGTCACCAAGCTAAACCGGACTGGAATGGCGGCAGCGGCGATCGTGGGTCCTCGTTCGGGGTTGGTGTGACGGCGTCGTCTTTGTTTTTTTCCCCAGCCACTGGGTTTGTATTCTCCAGTCAACAACTTTCTTAAAGAGCATCTCGCGTACAAATTGGAGCGAGCAACTAAGAGAAGACTTTGGCTGGCTTCCCCACCATCTTTCGCTTGGATTTGCTGTCTAACCATTTCCTCCGAAACCTCCAGTCCCCGTCAAGTCCGTCTCCAGCCTGAAGTGCCCGGTCATCAATCATCATGTCAACGCCAATCCCACAACCCCCCGGCGTTCCTCTGCTAGGCAACATCTTTGATGTTGATCCGAGCAACACCTGGTGGTCATTGAAGACACTTGCTGAAAAATATGGTCAGTGGAGTCGAGATCCATCCATGTCAGGGACATGGATGCATACATGATTTGTACCTACAGCGAACTTGAGCGACAATGTGCTGACTCATGATTCCTTCGGCAGGGGAGATTTTCCAGATCAAGGTCCTTGGCCACCGCATCGTCTTCGTCGCCAGCGCTGCATTGGCCGAGGAAATCTGCGACGAAAAGCGGTTCCGCAAATACGTCGGCGGACCGATCGTCGAGATCCGCTACACGGTCCATGACGCGCTCTTCACGGCTTACGATCACGAGGAGAGCTGGGGCATTGCCCACCGTATTATGGTGCCCCAGCTCACGCCGGACGCAGTAGCGAGCCACTTTGACGAGGTTATTCAGTGCACCGATGGCCTGATCGCGAAATGGAGTGGGCTCGAGTCTGGTGGCCGGACCCGTCCCATGGACGACCTCAACCGGCTCAACCTCGAGGCCAACACGCTGACCCTGTTTGGCAAGAAGCTGAACTGTTTCGAGGGACCTGAGCACCCCATGATCAAGGCGATGGAGGACGCAACGTCGGAAGCCATGAAGCGGCCGAACAGGCCGAAGCTGCTCAACTGGTTGATCCATGACGGCAAGTTGAAGAAAGCAACAAAGGTAATGCGCGGCTTCGCTGCCGACCTGGTCAAGGAGAGGCAGGAGAATCCTTCGGAGCGGCGTGACATGCTCTGGACCATGCTGAACGTGAAGGACCCCGAGACGGGCAAGGCCCTGACTGAGTCGCAAGTCATCGACGAGATTGTGAGCATGCCCATCGGCAGCAGCACCGCCCCCTGTGCCATCGCCGCGGCTATCTACTTCCTCCTCCAGAACCCCGACGCGCTCGTCAAAGCCAGGGATGAAATTGATGCGGTGGTTGGCGAGGGGCCCTTTAAGCAGGAGCATGTCTCCCAGCTGCAGTACGTGGCAGGCCTTGTCCGCGAGACGTTGCGGCTCTCGTGCGCGGCCCCGGGCTTCAACATCGAACCTATCCCCAAGAAGGGCGACGAGTCCCCGGTGCTTCTCGCGGGTGGGAAGTATCAGGTTCCGCACAACCAGGCCATGATCATCGTGTTGGCTGGCGTCAATCGTGACCCGGCTGTTTTCGAGGAGCCGCTCGCTTTCCGGCCCGAGCGTATGATGGGCGAGGCATACGAGCAGCTGCCGTCTGCCGTGAAGAAGTGGTTTGGAAACGGCAAGCGGGAGTGCATCGGCAAGCACTGGGCGTGGGAATTCCTAGTTGTGGTCATAACGAAGCTGATTTCGGAGCTCGACTTTGAGGCAGCCGACCCCAATTATCAGTTCAAGCAGGATGGATGGTTCAATATCCGGCCTATCGACTTCTCGGTCAAGGTCAAGTCAAGGACGCGTTGAGCCGGCGGGGTCAAGGGAGAGCGAAGGAGTTGGGGTTGTTTATGTTATTGTTAGGTATTTTTTTTTATCATGGCCCTTGTCAAGTCTAACCCGTACCTACATGTACATGTATCTCACCGAAACCTGTTGATCTCAAGATGATTTCCTGTTCCACCCTCACCGGACGAAGCTGAGGCTTGTCGGCCTGTGCAATATGGTCATCCTGTTGAGAGTGAGGTACCAGGTACCCAGGTACCTAAGGTAGCTACGCGCTCGGTTCATGGAGAGAAACTCCGAGTCAAGTGAGCACGGGTCACGGGAAGGTGGCAACATAACTTTATGAGTCACTGAGGAGGACCGTGCGAGGCATGAGGGTCTTTATAAGTGATAACTGCTGTGAAGGGGGTCTTGCGGGACCCACCACACATCAAATACTTAACGAAATTATCGCCAATTCAAAATGAAGTGCTCCTTCTTCCTCGTCTTGTTCGAGCTCATCGCCCTGGGCTTCGGCCAGGACGTCACCGTCACCCTGTCCTCCGGTGCCACCCTCCCGTCGGGTGTTACCCTGCCGTCGGGCGTATCCGTCGTCACCGCCACCTCGACCTCTTCCGCCCAAGCTAAGTACCGTCGTCAGAACATCGGTGGCGGTGCCTCGCAAACCCGCACTGCTGGCCAACAAACTACCTCTACCGCCCAAGCTCAACGGTACCGCCGTCAAAACATTGGTGGCGGTGCTTCACAGACACGTACTGCTGGCCAACAAACTACCTCTACCGCCCAAGCTCAACGGTACCGCCGTCAGAATATTGGTGGCGGTGCTTCACAGACACGTACTGCTGGTCAACAAACCACCTCTGCCGCCCAAGCTCAACGGTACCGCCGTCAGAACATTGGTGGCGGTGCTTCACAGACACGTACTGCTGGTCAACAAACCACCTCTAGCGCCCAAGCTAAGCGGTACCGCCGCCAGAACGTTGGTGGCGGTGCTTCACAGACACGCACTGCTGGTCAACAAACCACCTCTGCCGCCCAAGCTAAGCGGTACCGCCGCCAGAACGTTGGTGGTGGCTCGCAGACCCGCACTGCCGGTCAACAGACCACCCGTGCCAACTAGAGCCGCTCAGTGTGGCGGTGTCTTGCTGCTTGGCCATGCCACGGCTCGGCAGGTCTGGTCGCGGCTTAATATTCCAAGGTAGGGTTGCGGCTATGGTGCCAAGGCTAATACAATGTGTAGGTTACTGGAGGTTAGGGTTGAAGGGTAGGGCTTGGTTAAACTCATGATCTGCTGTATCATGGTGCCTACTTACGTTGCTACTTACCTTGCTATATATAATGGTATAGCTAAGGTATCTTCAATCAAACACAGTTACTACGTTTAATTCTTGCGACATCTCTTTGACCTAGACCTAGTAAAAGTGCTTTCTTAACTACGTGCATTCTAAATGTTAAAGTTGTGGACAATACATCCCACTCTTAGTTTGCTCTATATTATGTAACCTAAACTCTACTCGTATCCTTCAAGGATAGTTAAACCTCTTCTCTTCAGAGCCTTCAACTTCTTTATATATCGTCTTGCGTATAACGAACTGCCCAAGTAAAGAACGGTTGTTCAAAATGGAGTAAGAGAGAGCCCTTGAGAGCTAGAATAACCTTTATATATTTACTCTTCCAATCTTCTTGCCGCACTCTCCTTCATAAAATGTGTAACAAATATTAGTGATATTCTTTTCTCCGAAGTCTATTATGCTAAGAGCCACTCAATTAGCAGTGAGAGAGGAAGTAAAAGTAATAGCTATAGTTATTAATAATAAGGAGCGTTGACGAGAAACTGAATAAACTAGAGGTGGTTCTTATTAACTAAGACTGAGCGAGGATACTAGTAGCTTGGGGCAGATTAGGAGACTTCAACTGAATTACTATCAGAACTCCTGGAACCTTCTATCCTCGCAGTCAGTGATTTGAAGTTTTCTTTTTCTCTCTTTTTTTTCTCCTTTTTTTTCTTTTTCTTTTGCTATATATACCTAGTTCCTCAGAGGCATATATGAAGTCGAAGCTGTTCTGTTTAAAAGGAAGCGGCAGATACCTGTAAATAGGCCGTTTGGTCTTTCCATCCACTCTGTTGAAAGATTGGGGCAGAGAGCTCAGTAACGAAAGGGTATTGGAACGGCAGCATATGAAATACGGAGCTCCGGTTCAACATAAACATATTGCAAGAGAGTATATATATGTATATAGTAAGCTGTTGAAACACGGATGCATCTGAGCAGGTTACAATACGAAACGTAGACCGTATCATTCAGAGTCTCCGACCTGACATCATGCTGTGACTGAACTAATCACGCGTGATACAATCATCTTGCTTCCCTCCTCGGATCGAATGATGGGAGACTCAAGGCATGGTGCACCCACCAAGCATCCGAGCCCAGTAGTGGCTCGGTGGTATTTCAACTGCCGAGCGCGGGGAAGGACCCAAATGCCCCTAGGCCAGGTCACAAGCACAAGGCTTGTTTTGTGGTTGACCTTCACAAACTAAAACAAGCCCAGAGAAAAGGAGCTAGAGGGAGAAGATACCCGATACTTCCCCTCTTGGGGTTAACAAGAACTGTGGCGGCTCAAACCTCGAGCCCCCGCAACCCCTGAGGGCAGGCTGCCCGATGCAGCATCAGTTATATAAGTTCTTGGATACGCCTTTAACCCTGGCCTTCTTTATCTCCACTTGTAGTTTATGCAGTAATATCGACGTGCAGCATACGGCTAAACCTTGTCCTCTCCTCGGTCCTGCAGGAACAGCATGAATACCACGCCAGGCGTAGCACACCCTCGAGAAAAGTCACTCTGGGCGAACCGAAAATGCCTGTCAATGTGCAGCATTGTTGCCGTGGCAAACATGCAGTATGACCTTGACTCTGCATGCCTTGCCAGCCTTTAAGCCATGCCGGGCTTTCTGTGAGTGTTCGGCTACCCCGATCCCACTCTCAGGGGCGGCTACGGCATTGATGTTGTTGGAAACGACACTCAGACGGAAAGATCGGGGAGAAAAGAATTGATTTGATTGTTCTGTCTTCCTCAGTGGCGGGCATCGCCCTGACCTCCTTTTTATGCTTCTTGTTCAGCCCCTGGAATCCCTTTTGCATTAACTAGCGCATCGGCAGTCGAGAATCCGTGTTTCAATTTCCACAACTTCCAACACAAGTATCCGCAAGAAGGTTCCATGTGACGAATCCAACAGATGTAAGACAGCTTCATCTTCCACCCAACCAACCACCATCGTTCAGTTTTGTTAATAATAGCCAAATAGAGAACGTTCCAACAACTGATAGGGTCCTTATTAATTCTGGGGCCATTCCTCTCGTCATCTTTGCGGGCGCCTTCGCCCATTTCTTTGGTCGCAAACCTGCTCTCTGGCTTGCGTGTCTCTTGACCGCTGCCGGGGCCGCCATCCAAATCGGCACCACCAACTGGGGCGTTTTCTATCTTGGCCGTCTGGTCCTGGGCGTTGGAAATGGCTTCCTCGTCACGTTTTCCAACATCTATTGCGCCGAGGTGGCACCTGCGCACCTTTGTGCCGTGCTCGTAGCACTGTTCTCCGAGTGGGTTACCATTGGCAGCATTGTCGGCGCGGCCGTGACCAATGCGACGTCCAAGTCGCTCGACAAGTCGTCGTATCAGATCCCGCTGGGGATTCAGTTTATTGTACCGGCCATGTTGGCGGTGGGGCTCTTTTTCGTGCCGGAGTCACCGGGATATCTTGTGAACAAGGGGATGTTGAGCCAGGGGAGAGCAGCGCTTGAAGAGTTGAGAAGTGACTAGCTCAATGAAGAGCAATTTGAGTTGGAATGGGTTGAGATGGTCAGGGGGATTGAAGAAGAGAGAAAGCTAGCCAGATCGGTTGGGCCGTTGGAGATGTTTCGAGGTCTGTCCACTTCTTCGAAGCTTAAGCAAGCTGACAACGGCCATTGCTAATGTCCAAACAGGGACCAACCTACGCCGGACATTGCTTTGCTTTGGAGTCATTGCAGTAGGTTCTCCTTGAGATTATTTGTTTTCTAGTTGCTGACCGTCAACAACCCAAACCGGAAGGTAAGGGGGGATGCCTCTTCGTGATCAAGACATCAATCAACCAGACTAACATGGAGTAAGCGACTCCTGGTTCCTCATTAGTTACACCACGTACTTTCTAGTGGTGTCAGGTCTCAGCGTCGACGATGCTTTCAAGTATTCGGTGCTGAAATCCTGCTTGGGCTTCATCGGGGTCAACCTCGGCATCTACCTGATGCGTCACGTCGTCGGCCGGCGGAGCATCATGATGATCGGCTCACTAACCCAGGGATTATGTATGCTCATCGTTGCGGTCACTGCAACAACATCGGCTGGCACCCTCGTTGCGCGGAACTGTCTTATCGCCTTTACGTCTCTGTACATGTTTGCTTACAACGCTTTCGTTGGGGCGGCCAGTTACCCCGTGGCTACCGAGCTGGTGAGCACAAGGCTCAGGTCTTGGACAGTAGGCTCTGCCATTAGCCTCGGGTACTTTCTAGGCTGGTTAACTGGATTTTGCCCGCCCTACTTTATCAATCCCGAGAACATGAACTGGGTAAGTGTCATCCCATATCTCGTCTCCACGGCCTGGCTCACGTTGCCTTTTCTAAATAGGGGACAAAGTACGGCTTCATTTGGGCGGGGTCGAATTTCGCCTGCGGCATCTTCTTCTTTTTATGCCTACCCGAACTCAAAGGACGGACTCTGGAGGAAATCGACGAGTTGTTTGAGAGACGGATCTCGGCATGGAAATTTAAGACGACAAAGACCAATATCACAGAAGCCTTGTTGAAGGAAGTACGGAACAGGGAAGTGGTCATGGATGTGACTAAGAAGACTCGGTTCACTAAAGCGGTGGAATTGGAGACCCGAAGGGTTTAGTGACTTGGCGAGGGTTTGGGGGAAAGGGGGGGGATTCAGGGGTAACGTAAGGCGAGTAACATCTTTTTTAGGGAGAAAGAGGACATCATCGTCAAAGCTAATCTGATTTGTGCGAGCGTAACGGAGATATTACATCATCACATCATACCATCATTTCTCGTCCTTCCCACAGAATCGATATTCCTCCAAAACCAACTCTCGTCCACGACTTACACACTTCCGGCACCAAAGCCAGAACTTTCCTCGCATTTATTGCCCATGATCCACTAGAATTGCCACTGCCTGCACCAGTTCCTCATGAGCTCGGGCGTGATGGCGCGCATCTCGCGCATCGTCCTGCTGCGGTTCGAAGTCCGCGATGTGTCCATTGCGACGTATCCCTGCCCCTCGTTCATTGCCGTTACCCAAGCCCTGTAGGTGTCGAGCAGCTTTACACCTGGGTTCCTGCTGATGTCCTCTGCCTTGGCTTGGCTATTCTCCAGCGCCCTCACCCACACATCGAAACTGACTAGATTCTGGATGCGATCGCCGTAGAACTCCCGGACGGCCTCTGCCAGCGGCCTCCATTGTGTTTTAGCCGGGTTGATGCCGTGGAAGTACCCATTTATATCTTCTACCGGGACGTTGCACGTCACTCCGGATGCCTCGAGCACAAGGTTCGCTATTCCTTCGATTGGCGTCCAGTCAACTGTGGTCATCTGGCCGAGGCTGTCCGGGAGGAGGCCGAGATATACGGAGCTGGCAATGATGCTGGGGAGCCACTCTTGCCTATTCCAGATGCCTCTTTCGCTGCTTGGACCGGCGATCTGCCCGACGCGCATGATTTCGATGGGGACACCGGAAACCTCGTTTGCCTTCTCCAAGATCAGGCTGCTGATCAGCTTGGACTGGCCGTAACCGCCGGTGCTGATATCCAAATCATGCAATGGTTCCTCTGGCACAGGGGTTGGCTTCTTCCACGCGCTGACAGTGGCGATGGAGGAGATGAAGACAATAGGAACTCGCTTTGTCGCGTTGCAACTGAAGTCTGCTAGATTGCGGACCCCTCGGATGTGCGGCTCAAAGGATTCGATGGGCATGTTAAAGTTAACCGGCCACTGGTTGTGGATGACCCTGTCCACCTCGGCCAAGAGCCGCTCGTACACTCCTTGTTCAAGTCCTAGATCGTATTGCGACATTTCAGCGCGCAAGAACTCGGCCTTGGAGAAATCGATGTTGAGACCACGGTCGACGTTGGCCTGTCTTTGCCGGGCCTCGGCGTCATCCGTGCGGTTGAGGCAAATGACCTTCTTGACTTTGGGGCAGGACGATGCTATCTCAAGCATATACGACCCCAAGGCACCCGTCGTCCCGGTGATTACGATCACCTGGCCTTCGTCGAGCGGCAGGGGCTTGTCGGCCCGGGCCCGTGGCATATTCCTGGTGTACTTTTCGAGTAGAGCCTCCATGGTATGGGCCTCGTACTGCGTCTCACCCGTTACGGCGTCCTGTCCATCACTGCTCACCAAGGAGAAGAGAAATTCCGCCAGTCGCCGGGAGGTCGGATGCCCATAGATGACGCGTGTGGCCAGGGCCGAAGCGTCCACACGAAGGCCACTTGCTTCCAGGCCCGCCCGAAGCAGCCGAGAGGCGTTGATGACCTGCATCGAGTCAATTCCCACGGTAAAGAAGTCCGTGTCTGGCTCTAATTTCGGTGACCGCAACCGGTTCTCAAAGATGGCCTCGATCGACTCAGTCAACCCCTCTTTGGAGCTGAAGTCCAGAACTGGCGCTTCGGAGGATGTGACTTCATTGACGTGTTCGTAAATCTTGTCAATCTCCTCTTTGTACATCCTGACGGTGCCGGCCCGCTGGATCGTCCCCTTGCCTGCTCGGAGAAACGGCTTGTCGGGGTTCGAGATGGCAATGAACTGCTTCCCGATCTGGCCATGGGCCACCGTCTCCTCGTTGACTTTGACCACCGTCGGCCAGACGCTGTCGATGAACTCCTTGGCTTCTTGTTCCGTTTGGGGCTGCTTCATCGGCTCAAGGATGAGGGCAGGTTGGAACCGGTTACTGCCAACCACGATTGCTCCCTTGACATTTGGATGGCCCATCACGACTGTCTCGATAGTGACGGGGTTAAGCTTCTCGCCGTTTGAGAAGACAATGATGCTGTCAGCCCGGCCTTGATACATCCAATGATCCGGTAGCGTCGGATGCGGCTTGAACAAGTCGTTGGTCTTGTACTCCTTGGCGTCGGGGAAGGTGTAGAAGAAGCCTTGATATCCGGGATCTTTGTCCTTGCGCACGATGACTTGCTCGAAGATGTCTTCCCCTTCTACCTTTCTCCACTCGCAGCCAAAGAGCTCCGAGTTGAAGATGAAGTACCGCCAAAGCTCCAGGTTTGGCTGCCAGTAGGCCGGGTAGGGTGCGAACCTAAGCTGGTTAGTTTATTTACTTTAGCCCGGTATTAACAACGCACTCTGTTGCTGAGATGAGGTTGATCAACATCACACCATGTTTGACTAGCCTGTCACCCGCCTCCGTTGATAAGCTTCCTGTCGAACGGTTAGTAAATACTAGTTTTAAGTTCTCATTGAGGCTTTGCGGAAACTTTGCTTACCGCCGCCAAATCCCACAAATGCTAGCTTCTTCAAGGCATCGACGGATCCTTCCCCTTGACTCAATTCCTCAAGAATTGCAGGGGGTAAAAGGACGGAGTCAACGCCCGCATGTTGCAAGCAATCCAGCGTCATATCGGCCGAAAGAGGGCGATCGCCGACGCTAAACGCCGCCGGGAGGTCCCAATAATGAATGATCAACAAGGCGAGATAAAGCGCGGCAGCATGATAGAGAGGCACTGCGAGAAGGCTGGTTAGCTGAGGCCAGCTCGGAAGCTCACCGTTAGCTCCACTTACTTGGAAGCAGCATCCTCGTGGACCGTCGCGCCATCTCGTCGAGCCAGAACCTTTTCCCGTTCCACTCGCCGTGGTTGTGATATTTATCCGCAATGGCCAACATCCCGTGTCTCACAACGACCGGTTTTGGAAAGCCAGTGCTACCACTCGTGTGCAAAACTAGCAACGGATCCCATTCGGCTTCGTCAAAGGTTTTATTGTAAGGATACGGCTCGATGTGTTCCTCGGGGAACCATGCCTCGACGGGGAACGTCATGAACGCATGCATGTCCCGCTCCTGCACCCACGACTGGACGATGTCTTTGTAGGTCGCTTCGAACCAAATTACCTGGCAGTTTGTCTGCTCAAAGAGGTTGAGTTGGCCCTCCTGGGAGTTGCGCGGGGAAATGAAGAGGGCCTTATAGCCCGCCTTGACGGCGCCCAGGGCAAAGACGAGATACCGGACATCGCTGGGGCCGATATAGGCGACGGTAGGAAAGTCGCCTTGGCTTGGTACTCCAGTTGACGCGACGAGCTTGTTGGCGACCCGGTTAACGGCGTTGGCTGCCTGCTTGTATGTGATCTTCTTCCAGCCGTCCTTGGGGTCGGACGACTTAGGGACCGACACCCACTCCCGGTCAGGTTCGTTCTTGGCACGCTCATCGACTATGTTCACTAGCAACCGTTTACCAAATTCTCCTGATTGTGGGACGGTCATGTTGGATCTGGGACGCAGGGTGTGGTGGTTTCTATGTTGCCTAAGCGGGTTCTGGGGGAGGAAAAGGGGTTGATGAGAATACAAGTTACACAACACTTTTAACGTAGGGCGCGTGGGGCTTTTTGAATTGGGGGGATAGAGAGTTCAGCTCAAGCTGAACCCCGACATATTTCGGAGTTTGGATGCATCCGGGAGCCGATACTCCGACTACGATCGGCCGCGGTAGCCGCGGCTTTTTCTTCGGGGACGGCTTTTTCCTCGGCCTCTCCCGCGACGCGAGATTTGAACAACACCCGCTTCTTTAACACTCACTATATCCGGCGGAACCAATGCAAGGCAATTGTTGCGAGTCAGGTGTAAACCGGCTGAACGGCTACGTCAGCTTTGCCTCATATCCGCTCCGTGGGGTCTCGCGATCCGCGATGTCCGGGCTCCATTGTGGCATCGCCTCGAGATCGCCCACGGACCGCACACACCCCACCCATCCACCCCCTCTCCGGCAGCATCCGTACTGTCTGAGGTTGTATCAAGCACGGTTGTGGCCGCCATCGGCAGCCCACTCAGGATTCATGAAGTGGCCACTAACCAGTGATATCCAAGAGAACCCTGCCAGCTCGCTTGATGGCAAACTTGGTGGCTTGTCCATCCTCGCAAGCCTCGCCAACATGTCCCTGTTCGTCTGCGAGTCACTGGCGAGGACACATCCAGGAGGCGCGGAAAGTCCCACTGACTAACGCAAAAAGTAGTTAGTGTGTTACACGGCGCGCAGGTGGCAAAGTGTCAGGTGGGAGGCTAAGGGGGTTAGTACAGAGCTGAGAGAGCCGCATTTGATTGACCTGCAGCTTCGGAGTTACGCCAAAGTTTTCGGCAATCCATACCGACGCCCTCGCCGAGCAATAATATGTAATCTGAGACGGGGGTTCGAGTGCGTTTCCGTGGGGAAAGACCAGGGTAGTAGGAATTGCCGTGGGCATAATGAACAAATAAAGGCATGTTTCATGATTCCATCTAGATAACAACGAGAGAATAACCGATGCAGGACGACATCTATGCCGGAAGAATCCTCAATATCACAAACCTGATGCGTCCTACGTATGACTAGTCCTTGACACAACGATCATTGTATCTCTCGTCACACCTAGCCGGGTCACAATCCGATAATCTGATCCACAGTTCTGTGCCCTACAGCAGAGTAACCCTCGACAAATCTGTCTCCGTATCCTTGCATGAAGGTTTCTTGTATTATCGTCAGCCTGGGGCCAACATAGACATGGAGCTTGCACTCACCATATGTCATTTCAGGCTTTGTACGACACAGCCAGCTCATCGTCTCAACAACGCTGTCCTTGAAGTCTTCGGCCTGGGGGGAAGACTTCGAATACAGCCCAGTACTCGGCCTCTGAAATCCCGAAACTGGGCCCAGAGAAATCAAGGGTGACTGATTTACTAACTGTCTCGACCTCGGGTTCCTTGAAGAAAAGGAAAACCTGTGCTCCCCATGGAGAGCAATAGCGTCCCAGACGAGCTGTACGCGGCGCTCTTCCCAGTGTCTTCCCCGCGGGTGGGCGCGGATAAACTTGCGAGCGGCAATAGCACCGTCGACCTCAAAACGGTGGTCAAGCGTGACGATGGTGGAGTTGGGTGTCCGTTCAAAGCCCAAATCGTGCAGGAGTAAGGCCACCGCATGGACTTCGGGGTCAACAATGGATTGCAATGTGGTATTGTGTTGCAGCATGAGAGTTCCTAGAAGCCAGCAACGCATGACATGGTTGTACACCGTGTCGTCGCCGTGGTCGCGCGCAAACTGTTGGGCCGCGCGGACGAGGGGTGTATCAACGACCGAAACGCTAGCGATGGTCCGTCGGGGGTACTGCTCTGGAGCACCGATTCCTTTTCCGGGAAAGGGATTGCCGTGTGCTGAGAAACCTGAAAGGCGGCTCACCGCAAGGGCAACGATAGTCAAAAGAAGACGCATTTTGAAATGCAGCAATAAAGGGCCAAAAAAGGGGTAATGAGTTGGTAAGGGAAAGGCTCAACCGTGACAGAGCGTACCCTCATATACCAAGATTTCGGGTCCTGATCCGAGACGAATCGGCATCATGAGTTGCTTTGAGCAAGTTTCTGCCCAGTCTATGGCGTGCAAGGCTTTGGATCTTCCATAACTTGATACTAGAGCAATCCGGTTTCTGTATAGTCTCCGATCAGCCTCGGATGTTACGGCTACTCGCACTCTCGCACTCCACTGCTAACCAAACAAAGCTCTGCTCCAAAAGGCGTGCTACGAGATTTAAACAGGGTCCAGAAAAGTGATCTTAGCGACTCGAACAACCATCTATACTCCGATTTCCACATCCATGATGCTGTCTTCCCTCGCTCCTGATATCAGCTCCCGTCCGTTGTGAAACTGTTTGGGTCCAGCACAAGGTGCGAGAACAGGCCGACCGGCGATCCCGTCTGCAGTGACATATTACCTCTGATGAGGCGGTATTTGCGCCAGACTTGGCGTGGAGACCAAAGCCGGGCAGAACACCACGGGCGAACCCCCGCCCATCATATGTCCCCGGATGCGTATCTCCGATTTCGAACCCCCCAACGTATCGACTTGTTTCACCATTCTATCCATCACCGACGCGTCGTATCCTGTGCGCTTCATATCCGCCGCCAACTGGAGCGCGACGGCCCGCACAAGCGGGCTCTTCTCCCGAAGAAGACCAGCGTCTGCGCTAAGTAACGGAGCTTCTCCTCGCTCCGCCCGAGGGGCCCCTCCCGTGGTCGTCCCTCCTCGCCTGCGGCCTCCCGGAAATGATCCTCCAAAAACACCAACGCGGCCAGGTACGCCGCAAACGACAGAAACGGGTTGCGGATCGCGGTGCCGACGCCGTCGCCCGCCGCGCGGAACACGGCCAAGATGCCTTCGGTCGCGGGGAGGAGGCGGGTTTGGCCCTGCGCTATCAGCAGCTGGTGGCTGGCATCCTTCGGCGAGCGGGTCTGGAGTTCGTGCAACAGTGCTAGTGCGGTGCGGTGGAGGTGGATCGTGGCCATGTTGGTGCTCGCATGGACGAGGATGGCGTCGAGAGTGCGGGGCGCGCGGTGCAAATGCAGACGCTCCGGGAGCAGCATGGTTAACGTGGTCAGGTTCATGTCGATCTGTCTGTGGCGGACCCAGTAGGGCCCATTTGGGATTTCGTCGCCATTGTCGACCTCGAAAAAGTGCCGCGGATTGTTGTCGAGGGCATGGAGCAGCTCATTGGCGGCGAGGATGCGGATGGCAAGGGGGGAAGGCTGCGCGTCCTGACCTTGTTCCAGTTGTTGGAGGCCCTTGCATAGGGGAATCGGGGGTTCATTTGTTGTGCCGGCGGCAAAAGTCTCTTCGGTTGAGGGGAGATTGATGCGGACGTGGCGCTCGTCCACCAGAGACGGCCAACCCGTGGTGGACGACAGGTAGCGATCAGCAAGAAAGGCGACTCACCACGTCCGCCGCCTTTCCTCAGCCTCAGTCCAGCTCCTCGGTGGGGGCAAGCCCAAATGCACAAGTACTGGTCCCGACTCTTTCTTGTCAAGCTGGTGTAGCCTGAGCATCTGTGCAATTCGCACGCCGCGGCACAGGCTGGTGGATGCTCTCGTAAATACGGCGTAAACGTGGCATTCGTAAGCCGAGATGAGGCACCAGGCCTGCACATGAGCCAGGGTTGTCGAGACTTCACCTTGTCCCCTGAGTTCATCTACCTCGGCGTAGGCTCGGGAGCGTTGGTAGAAAGGCTCGGACAGATGTCGATATGTCTCGGATGTTGCCGCGGCCGAGGCCATAACAATGTATTGGAGACACATGGGAGGGCGCATATGAGGCGGGAGGCGCAGACCTGCCGTGTAACTCGCCTGGTGTAGCATGGGTGCACCGCCGTGTATGTTTCGGAAGTAGAGGGAGACCCTACACACATTGTCATCTTCAGCCACCCTTTTTTAAAACAGCGAACGACGGTGAGGTAGCGTACAGTTTATCCCTAACATCAAACGGAGGAAGTTGCTCGAAGAGGCCTAAGCTGATCAATTGATCTGCTGACTGCACGCTCGGGACAGGAGGTTGAGTCTGCTGAATTTGCTCATATGGCACGCTCTGTTCTAGCACAAAAGAGCCAACCCCAAAAACATCGAGGTTAGGGGGGTCTTGGAAGGGTGGCTCAAATGAGGCTCCAAAGTTTGGGTCTGGCAAATCCGCTCCTGTACCCTACGCAGGCCCGAGGTCATATATTCTTAAGAGTTCTTCAAGTTCTTCTATCACGATTGGAGCAAGCAGTCAGCCCAGCGCCTTTAGCGGTTTGTTAAGGTGTGCAAGGGGGGAAGCCCACCTATCCGCTTCTCAAGCTCCCGGACCGTTTTCCGTCGACCAAGCGCCCGCTGCCGGAGACCGGGGTAGCTACATTTCTCATCCTGTCTGGAGCATCGTTCACTTGTCGGGTGCCTACGGTCGCACCTCAGCTTACGGCTGCGGCACTGGGCACAAGACACTGACGACGGGTTGACGGGGTTGACGGGGTTGGAGGGGTTGGAGGGATTGTCTGCTGGCGTGTTGCTGTTATGGGTTAGTTCCCCTTTGGGCTGCGGGTGCGGTCGCCCCGCCGTTGCCATGTGGGTTTTTTGGTGATAAAGCTATTGTCGTACAGGAAATAATACAAATGTCGAGGCCAGGATAAGGGGAATGGTTGGCAGGAACCACAAAAAAGGGTAACCGGAGCTGACTAACAGGTGTGAAGCAAGGTGTCAAAGGCCACTGCAATGGCAAACGTTCGGCCTCCGAAGCGGGGCGTAAGAATCCTCTCGGCAATATCTTCAACCCCTAAAGTCGACTTACGCAGCCTTCCCGATCCGCCTCGGATCCCGAGCTTTGAAATGGCTTTGAAATAGCATTGGATTTGAAATACTGAGAACCGCTAAGTGGAATGGAAGGATGATTCCAGATTTTCACCTCCGACGCTATAAAACCCCATCCGTAATTTGTGAAATCTGATTCAAATTCACTTTATGTTCACTGACCACGACAAGACTCAAGTACCTCAGTGTATCTACGGATTTACTCTTGCTATTATCACTGCCTTGGGGGAGGCGGGAGGGCGGGGGAAGCCCAATGCCCAACCCACGGCAACGAGATTCCATACTTTTGTCCGTGCTGCTCAGGGAAGCACCCGGCCTGGGTACGGTGGTGCCCGGAAGCAGTGAAGGCCTGGGGTGCGGCGAGGGAGGCATACCATTTCCGGCCTCGAACCTTTGAGCTTGCTTTGCAGCAACAAACACAACAGCAGCAAGAGAGACTACTACCAAGGATGCGGAGCGTCACATTCCGGGGTGCGTCCACCCTGGAGGAGGCCGACGATGGCTTCCAAGAAGCGGGAAAAAGGAAGAGACCACGGGGCCGACCCCCCGTCTTTCTCATAGCCCAGGAGGAGGCTGCAAGGAGTTCGAGGCAAGGAAAGCTGACCTTTGCGAGGAAGGTTGATACGGATCTGACCGGATACCGAGGAGACGGTGTTGGGGGCCTAGGGGTTACGACTCCAGAGGCCGCGGATACCTTGGATGCGGACGGTCAGGATGTCGGAATGCAGGGAGCTGGGTAGGCTCCCTTCAACCGTAGCACGACGAATTCTGAAGAGACGGGCCAAGGTAACATCGGTACAGGCTTTTAGTCCGACTGGCAAACCAGGACGGTTTTCCTGTACAACTAGCTAGATAGTTGGACCGGCGAGCCCAAGGGCATAGCGGTGTAGGAATAATAATATTATCACTGCCAACAGTCCGGTACCAACATTTAGTTTCTCGATCTTATCAGTACAACCCTAGCTTTTATTCCAATATTATCAAACACATCAACATGTCCAACATTCTCACCGTTTTCGGCGCAACCGGCGTGCAAGGAGGCTCCGTTGTTCGTGCGGTGACCGCGGATTCAGTCTTGTCCAAAACCTTCAAGATCCGTGCCGTCACTCGGGATGCATCCGTCTCTTCCGCCCAAGACCTTATCAAACAAGGGATTGAACTTGTTACTGTACGTAGCGGTGCACTCCGGACGACACGTCGTATTATGCACTCACGCTTCTATCTAGGCCGACATGAACTCTCGTTTCTCGCTTACGGAGGCCCTCAAGGGAACCCACACAGTCTTTCTTGTAACTTTGCCAGACTTCGTGACTGGGGCAGCACCAGGAACCGAGGTTGAGCATGGAAAGAACCTTGCGGACGCAGCCAAGGAAGCAGGTGTGCAGCACATTGTCTTCTCGTCCTTGATCAACGTAACCGACGCATCCAACGGCCGACTGCCGCACGTTGCCCACTTCGACAGCAAGGCCAACGTCGAAAAGTACATCAGGTCCCAGAATCTTCCGGCCACCTTTATCCAGCCAGGCTATTACATGACCAACTTCACGAACTTGCAGCTCCTGAGAAAGGGGGATGATGGGGCGTACACACTTGCGGGCCCTACCAGCGCCGCCCAAGGCCCAGTTGCCCCTTTTCTTCCCCGAGAGTGACATGGGCGCGTGCCGAATTCCTTCATGCTACCATTGTCTCGGGGCAAATTTAGCTAACCAGCGGGGTAGGCAAATACTTCGTCGACGTTGCCAAGAACAGGAGCAACGTCTTGGGCAAGCAGATCTATGCCGCTGCCGACTACTACACCCCCACCCGCATCATGGCAGAGTTTCAGGAGGTGACGGAAAAGTAGGGGCAGTACGTACAGCTCGACCAGGCCGTCTACATGAGTTTCCTACCGCCGCCGATTGCCCAGGAGATTCTCGAGAACGAGCTACTCTGCGAGGAGCCGGGCTTTTACGCCGGCGGCTCGCTCACTGAAGGCCATGAGCTGCTTTCCAAGGTTGGCCTAGCTCCAACGACTTGGAAGGAGTTCTTGGAGAGTAAGAAAGAGCTCTTCGTGTAGGAAGGATACGTTAGATATGTTCTCGGTTTAGATGCAAATAGACAGAAATAATAGGAGGACAACGACTGTGGTTGCAGCTTCTCGACTGAGAAGTGCTTCCAGTTCGGGTTTTCCTCCATCATGAACTTGGTGTCGACGGCAATGGTCATGGTTGACTCGCCGCAGTTGTCAATCGGGTGTATAAAAAGCGCTATCGTAACTCAAATGAGTGGCGTGTATTCTCAGGCTATACTTCAGATCCAAGTGAAAGACGTCGTTGTGTTTGTGGTGGTGCTCGGTTGCACGTGGTGTATTCCTCTTGTGTGCCGTAGTCTCACCACACCGCGGTAGGTAGCATGATATCCCCAGACTTTCCCACCTCATGGTGCAACCCCCAGAGGTTTCCTTAGAGATACCTCCATTAATCCTACAGAACCCGTATCACCAGCGGGCGGCGTCCCTCAAAACCGCGGCCACCGCGTCGCCGCGCCCCTTTTTCCGAACGCTAGGGCCAACCAGCCCGCCATCAGACACAAGCCCCCGAGAGGCGTGACAGGGCCCATAAATCGGAAGCGCTCGTTGTCTAGCGTCAGGGCATACAAGCTTCCGCTGAACATGGTCATGCCAGCAGTGAAGAAAGCGCCGGCAACGGGGTTGTTGCTGGCCACGAGAAGGGCGACCGAGTGAACGAGCTGTGGAGTGGTGTCAAAACAACTAACCCCCAATTTGGCGACGCACGGATGCGCATACACACAGGGAGATGAATGGGTGGAATTACCTGATACTGGGCAGCAGTGGACCAATTGGCCAGTTTATTAGGGTCCGAGATGTGCTTCTTGAGTCCGTGGGCGCCGAATGCACCAAGTCCGACGGCAGTGGCACCAAATACGGCCCCCGTCTTCCAAAGGAAGTTGCTACCCATCGTGTCGTCGTTTTGAATCGATTCGTCTTGCTCGTCGGTGGGTAAAAGGGGGCTTGTTTCGTGGCTTGAATCTGCCGCCATTCAGTTGTGAGTTACGACGATCGCCGAGTTTGCTTCGTACTGCGGTTCAATTGCTTCGGGAGAGTTCGGGTTTCGTTGCGGAAATGCATTGCGCAGTGGTGGGGCTGCTCTGGCCCCTCAGGCGAAACTGTTGTACAACCCTAACCCTATTTTGAATCACAGCAATTGACCCCTTGCTTGCGATGAACGTATAAGTGGACTCAAAAGAGTTGAAGAGACTTGAAGACAGCAGCACATTGAGCATTTTCCTCCACCCATGAGTGTAAGTACCACGGATCTTCCCAACCCGGTGTTGGCATTGTCCTCAATTCTAGCTTTGAGGTCCTACAATTGCATTTATGAATCCGATGATTTAGCTCTTCATCATCCCGTCTCGAGGCAGCCATTGCATTTGTTGCTGGAGTTACGCTAATTGTTGGGCACCTAACTTGGAGGCATGTCAATACCAAGTACAAAGACCCGGACCAAGCGGTGCGGCTTTGGAGAGGGGTGGTTAGGTTGTTTGGAACTTGGCCTACGCGTGCACCGGCAAGTCAGTTTTGGCAATTGCAAGTGATCGAGTAGTGTTATTAGTATGAGACAATCAAATGGCTATGGATACGCGGGGGATGAAAGGATCGGTATCCTACCAACTGTCTCAGTTGATTTGCAAATACCAAGCCACGATGACTTGTCCTCGGGGCCTGGTTGACTGAACTATCTCGATTTCGATGTTGAGAGACGCAACAACCACCCGGTGGGAAGTTGATCGGTTGGCATTTTCGGGACAAGTGTGAGTTGGAGGTTTTTCCGAGTTCAACAAAACCCTGACAAGAAGTTTTGAGTCTTTGACAATAGCAAACCAGCATTGATTCACCCCCGTCAGAATTGGGGGAACAACCTGTTATTAAATAAACTATTTGAAGAACCTATTGTCTACACTTGCCCTGCTATTATGTGCTGAGTTCCCATTCTCAGCCAGTTCCTACCATGTCTGTGTCTCCTCATGCCTGTGCTTGTATTTCAACGTGGCCCATTTCCATCCCAACAGTCGATGCCCGCGAGTGATTTTTCCGGAATCTGCCCTCTTTTTGCCCTCATCTTTTTGCCCTCCTCTTTTTGCCCTCCTCCTTCGCCCACGCAAACCTTTTCTCAACTTTCCCAACTTCCACAACCCCTCTTCGCCAAACTTTCTTTCCCACCACTCTTCAACGGCGACCAGTCGCATCATGAACAAACACCAGCAACAGCCCGCCCTCTCTTTTCTTCCCCTCTCGCGGCCCAGCTGAGCTGAGCCAAAAACAGTACGTATTTTCTCTTTTTCATATCGCCATTCCCGCCCGGTGTTTCTCGTGGGATTTCGCGACAATTTTCGCGGCGTTCCCATCGTATACGCGTAAAATCGCGTTCCAACAGCTAGTTCTTGTTCATTTGCTTCCCCGTTGAGCGCCACTAACCAACACAACCACCAGATCAACAAGCGACTCGTCGCCCCTTTTGTTCCCCGTCGCCGCCTTCCGCCACTCTCCCCTCCTACCTCACCCGCTTTGCGTTCTGCCTCCCTCTCGCGGCCGTCTTCCCTCGCTCGCCGTCTCTTCTTTTTTGTTTCCTTTTTTTAGTAAAAAACAAAAACAAGAAAATGAACGAGTGCAACCCGGAGCACTGCGCCCTCTTCGTGGGGCCCTGCCCAGCCGCCCCGTTTGCCGTAAGTCAACTTCCCCAAGCACCGACGTCCCGGCGCGTCTCTTGGTCAGAGTCACTGACCGTGTTTAGCTCCCCAAGACAACAAGGAGTGCGCTGTGGTCGCCGAGCAGACCGGCAACAACCAATCCGTAAAGTCCGACCCCCAGCAAGATATTTCGCGTACTGCATACAGTGCCGACGAAACCCTGTCTCTTCAGCGTTCCAGCGTCGCTTGGTCAAGGCACGCTGGCTTGGGTGTATGCCTGGACATGCATTATTATACGTGTCGATGAACTGCAGCGCCCACGCGCGCGGCAGTAGCACGGGGAAACGAGATGGCGCAGGACAGGGAACCCACCAGTCTTTTCCGCGGTGTTCGTGTTTAACCTACGCAGCGGCGGGCCGCGAACCGGATTGCAAGCTCGGCCTTTCAACAGCTTCGCATGCAGGAAGAAATCCAGACCAGCCCAGGCTAGGGTGGATTAGCGGTGTCGAAAGACAAACCGAGGCGTGTACCACTCGCCCTGGTTAACAGCTGGGGGGGGCGTGGGAAAGCCGCACATGCCCGTGCCGACTCAGAGGGGACCCTCTGGGGATGATGGCCAACGGGGGAGTGGAGACTGAGTGGGATGGCCCCGTGTTTACTTGCGGACTTATCTCAGCGCATTCTTGTGCTGATGGGTGGTCAATTTTTTTTAGGCCAAGCTCAGCGACGACATCAACATGGATACCCCTGGTGAACCCAACCTGTCACCCAACAACGACGCCATCGCCAAGCAGCTGGATCGCGTCAACACGCAGTTCAAGGATCTCCAACAGCAAATGACGGACGTTACCAATGAGTGGAAGCAGCACGAGCGCGATCGCCAAAGCGAGTGCTGCGATCTAATCCGCTCCGAATTTCGGTCGCCGGATAGTCCGATCAAGAAGATCATTGAGGCGTCTGTTAGGGCTGAGGTATGCAGGGCATGGCCTTCAACATAAGCGCATTCGATTTTGCTAATTGCCTTGTGTGACAGCTCCGTGCGACCGTTAAGAGTCTCCAGAAGCGGCTGAATCCGGAGTAAGAATATTGGAGGCACAGGGCCCTATCGCAGGTGCCGACATCCGGGGGTGTTAAAAGTTGGGCGACTTCAAGGTTGGGCTTGTGTTTGGTTTCGACGTTTCGAAGTTCATTGTTCGCGGAGCATCAAGGAGAGGATGTCAGCATGGAAAGGTCATGGAGTTTCGGAGTCAGCTTAAAGTTGCTCAACATTGCGATGGAGTAAAATTGAATCAATTTGTGGATGTATTGAATGGATCTCCGCGTCGCCAATGAACATTGATATTCTTCTTCCCGTTTTACTTCGCGGTCACGTTGAAGTTTGGTTGTTGGAGTGAGCATGCATGTCGTCTGCGCCAGGGCTTGGCAGCTTGTGCCGCACGACCCACTCTTCGTCACCTTGAGCATTTCTCTGCGGATGAACGGCTTGGCATGCGTCTGCTTTTGCTCGTTCAACCAAATCTCTTCATCGCGACACAAAATTCCAACATGGCGAGGGTTCCAACGACAAACCACGTCACGCCAGGAGCACTAGTCAACATCGTGCTGAAGGAAGACCAGCCCACTGGTCGCACCGTTCAAGGGGTCGTGTCTCAGCTATTGACCAAAGGGAATCACCCGCGGGGGATCAAGGTGCGCCTATCGGACGGGAGAGTTGGCCGAGTCCAGAGTATGGCGGGAGGCGCCGGATCAATGGGGTCTCAGATCCAACTGGATGGCAACGTGGAAGTGGCTGCGGAAGTGGGGCCGGCCGGTGTTGCTCCCAGGGGGCGGGTACGACATGTCGCAGATGCGAGGCTGGATCAAGGGCCGCCGCCGTCAACACAGCCAGTTGGCCTTGATGCTTACATCAAACCCGCCAAAAAACGCGGGAAAGGGAAAGGGGGTACGGGAAACACTGCAGCCCAGGCTGCGGCGCGCGACAGCCAGCTCGAGGCTGCCGCACACGCCGGCCAGTCTTCACCGGAGGAACAGGAGTCGATGTGCCCTGTCTGCGGCGACTTCCGAGGCGATGAGGCGGCCCTGACACACCACGTGCAGTCTCACTTTGATGACTAGATTGTCGCGCAACGCCACACGGAGCCGCGTGAACGCCTGGCTGATCGTCGATGCGGAAATTAATATTGTTTCTACGCCGTTAAGCCATTAGGCAGACGAGGTCCAAAGCAGGAAATCCAAGCCACGAGCATTATTCCAAAACAAACAAGAACGAGCCATGATGCCTCCTTACTCAAAGCCCAGCATAAAACCCAGCTTGAGCGCCGCGATCTCCTTCTTGCTGAACGGATCCCGCTTGTTGAAGCTGGCCTCCCGCCGCTCGGCGCTCGACCACGTGGTGATGTCATAACGATCCCCACCAACCGCCGGCGTCCCGCCAGGCCCATTCGTGGTCCCCTGGTCGCTCTCGTACTGGCGGAACGATTTGGCCGTGTTCCAGGGGTCTTCAACCGTCCTCGCGGGCAACCCCTCGGCGGTGCCCTCGACATCCTGAGGCGCGTCCGGCACGGTAATGCTGTGGCGCTCGGCGTAGCCCAGGATGTACTCGTCCAACTTGCCTAGGTCGAACGTGTATTTCTCCGTGGATCCGTCCGGGAGCTTCAACTCGACCGTCTCCTCATCGCCGTCATTAAGCAGCTCGTTGATCTGCATGTTCCGGGCAGTCTTGATGTATATGGACATGATCAGGCCGAGGTTCTTCACTTCGGAGTCAGGGCCGAGGCGGTGCTGGCGTTCGAGTTGGGCGAGCATGGCGAGTACGGTACGGCCTACGAGGCGGATAAGGGGAATGATTGTGTCAACTTCGCCCATCCTGAGTTGTGGACGTGTGGTTAACTATCAGCGGCATCCACGCGTCAACGGAAGCAATTAACCCACTCTAATAAATCTGCGGCTAAGTCCGTCTGTAAGAAAAAGGATAGCGTTTCGCACACGACCCATTGTTCTCTCCAATTACCGTTCGCCTCGACGAAATCCAACAGCAGGTTCTCGATCACCTCGGCCACCCCGAGCGCTGCGTGGTCGTTGAACGTGTGCATGTCGAAATTGGCGGGGTCTCGAATCCGCGCCATGTCGACCTGGCGCATGAACTTGCGGCGACAGGCGTACGTCGTTACCCATTTGTGGTCGGGGTGTTCTTGAGCCAGCTTGCCGCAAATGCACCTGTCACCACCGTCGCAATCATTTTCCTTCTCCTCCTTTTCGTCGTCGGATTCGGGGAACGGCGGCCGGCACCAGCAAATGTACGCGTACGCCTTGTCTGGCTTGTTCCAGAGCTGCCGGTAGGCCAAGTCAAGGTTGGCGGAGCCCGACACCGGAGCCCATCGTGCACCCCGCGGGACTTTGCTGACGGACATGATGGAGTGGATCGAACTGTCTTGCAAATTAAGGTAGAGTACCAACCGTGGACGGGACCGCGCCGCGCTTGCGCAGGTGGAAAACAAATGCCGAGCTGCCCTTGTCCAGTGTCCTGGGCGGTGCACAGACCAGGTGGGAGTTTGATGGGGGTCGGGTCCAAGGCAACCCACCAGCCGCCCCGGCTCCCACTGCCCGGACAGTGGAAACCATGAACACATGTATGGCAGTCAGAAGGCATTGGAGCCAGTGAAGTCGACAGGAGATTGCGGTCGAGCCCGATAATTGGTCATTTCAATACTGTCCTCGTCGCTCGGGTCGTCATCACCTTTTTGTGTGAGTGTTTTGGTGCTGCGTGCGATTAGTGCGTCCTCTAAACTGACTGGCGTTTCCAGGGCCAGGCGCCGTTGTTGTGTTCCTGATTCCACTTCCCCAGATCGCGGGCGCCGAAGGCCTTGAATTGGCAACAAGACAGACGCCGTTTGGTTTTGCATGCTTGCCGCGCTGTAGCCGTCAGATTCGACCATGGATGTTCCGTAACTTGCCTGGTATCCGAAATGGGCCGGGCCTCGAAAACCTCCCCGCGACAACGCCCGAAGGATGGGTATCGACGCCGCCACGATGCACATGGCAGCTTCTGCGACGGACAGCGCCACCAACGGGATACTGCCCCGGGCATCAGTGTTGCCCTGGAGCCTTGGTATGGTTGACGCCTTGGCCGCCGCCGTCGCTCCAGCTCTGGCACCGCTTGTTAACTTGGGTCACCTCGAAATGTGAGGACTGAGCCACTTACAATATCCCCATGCTCATTGCAACCATGGCCCCAATTTTCTCCTTCCTACTCATTTGCTGGCTCAGAAGGTACTTCCACGGCAGAATCCCTAGCGCGACGTCCGCAGTCGCCGAGTATACTACGGAAGACCGCGTGTGTCAGCTCCAGCCCCCGTTGTCTACTCTGTTCACACAAGAACCCCCTTACCACAAGAAAACACATTGTACCTTATTGATACATCTATCGGGACGCAACCTCCCGCCAACTTCAATGGACCGCATTCGATCCAGACGAGAAGGATGCTGGCCGTGAGGGTCAAAGTGAGCGTGGTGAGGATGTACCATACACTGATTCTCATCCACCGGACAGGCAACCTCAAGAGAGTCACGGCGAAGGACGTTTTACCCCAGAGGTTGGCGATGATCATCAGTGTCGAGAGAATGTTGACAGGCAAGCCGAACTTTATCGCGTTAGGAAGTGGGATGAACCGCTTGCCATAGTCGATGCTGACCAGGAACGCAATGAGCCCGGCCGAAGCAGTCAGCGCCACCCACGAAGCCAATAAAATCCAATCGTCCCACCAGAGCCCACGGTGTTGGCAGTTCTTAAGATAGAGCCGCGTGAAGAGAAAGAGGCCAGAAATGGAGATGAGCAGCCAAGTCAAGACATTCAACTGTGGGCCATAGTCAACATCCATTTCGACCTGTTGGTATAAAAAGGCAATCAAGAGGGGGAAAGCACCCTTCGACACAGGGCATTAACGTCGACAATTTGCGCTACGCTCATGGAAAGACAATGGAAAACAAAAGGCCCAAGGTGTACGGTCCCGAATCAGGGTCAACCGTCGGTAATAATGATTAGGTACATTGGCCTGCTCCCTTGGCCCAGCTCTCAACCGCCGGAGACTGCTTTCCAGCTTTGGCCACCCCAGAAACCGGACCTTGTATCGGAGAAACCGCACTCCGCGGGGTATGAGACGGCTGTTTCACGCAGATCATAGTCATCGGTGAACCGCTGTCAGGCGAATCCGAAGAGAACAGCCAAAACGGGAGCGGCAACCATGGCTTAACCCCCTTTCCTCCACCCCGACGGCACCCTCCCAAGACCGCTCCCGTCGCGGAACGCGGATCTTTGCAAAGCGGTCGGCCCGTTTGGACACCCTGGTAAAACAGCAGATCATCCAAAAAAAGGCCAGAATTTGCTGATGCACCCGTAATCTGGGGTGCATGACCCCAAACCTCATCGTGCCGCGAGGCCCGTGCGTTTGTCTAACAGGAGATTGAACTGATAAACACAGCAATCACGATGACCTTGGGTATCAACCTAACAAGTCTCAGGCTATCGCATATTGCATGCCGTGATATTCCTCATTTAAGTTACTCAACAGCCCCCTCGAGGATCCTCCCGAACCCTGCGCGCGTCTGATGTCCGCACCCGCTCGCCGTGAGGGTCTCGGCCCAGCTGCCCAGGTCGCTTGCAGCCACCTGGACGGTTACAGGAGTCACAAAGTAAACATTAACACCGGGGGGCCACCGCGGAGGGACCACTCCCCGAAGTGCACAGTCTCGACTTTGGGTCATCGGACGAGGCGCGCTCCATAATACATCATTTTGGAGTTTTTGGAGCCGCCGCGGACTGTGTAACATGCGCAACGCACTTCATTCACCGTGGCAGCCGCCATTACTGCTAACGGTGTTACAGAAACATAAACATCCCTCATTCATCAATACATTCTTGTTGGTCCCTTCACATGCTCAGGAACGCCAGAACCTGCTGCGCAAAGTATGAAGCATACTGGAAAATTCCCCCATGCGAGCTGTTCGGGTAGATGATGAGCTGCGCGTTCGGGAGCTTCTGTTGCATGGTAAAGCTGTTGAAGGTTGGGACCATGTAGTCGTCCTAGAGATGGCATGAGCTTCCATCAACCACATGCAGTCACGGTCAGCACGGCGTTTGACTTACATGTCCATTCACCACCAACACCGGGATATCCAAACCCCCCAACCTATCAAACGACCCTTCCTCTCCCGGGGTCCCCTCCACCGTCATCCATCCCGCCAGCTGTTGCGCCTGCGCCTTCAACCCCACCGCGCCGTCCGCATACCCCTGACTCAACCACGTCGCCGGCTCCTCCCCGCAGGTCGCCGCCGACCGCTCATGAACCCTCGCCCACCAGTCCTCCGCCGCCACCACCCCCGCCGCATCATCCACAAAAAACAACTTCTTAAACGTGTCCACTCCCACCACCTGCGCCCCCGCCACCTCCAACACATCCTCATTCCCTGACCGCCGCACCCCCTCCCCCGCACTCGGCGTCGTGCCCGCCAACACCAACCTCCGCACTCTCACCCTCCCCCCCGTCACCCCCTCCGCATTCAGCGCCACCAACTGCGCCACCATACCCCCCAGACTAAACCCCAACACATCCATCTCACGCTCGCCCAGCCCTGCCAAAAACGCCAGCACGTCCCCCGCCGACTCACCCACACTACGCGCCACGCGGCCCGTGCTGAGCCCCACGCCGGCGTAATCCACGAGGAGGAGCCGGCGGTGCGCGGCCAGCGCGTTGAGGAGCGCCGGGTCGTATTTATCCATGACGCCGCGGAAGTGGGTGAGGATGAGCAGGGGCGGGCCCGGGGCCGTGCCGAGTCGGCGGTAGGCGAAGGTGGTGCTTGGGTCGGAGGGGTGCGGGAGGTGGTGGGTGGGGGGCGGTTTGGGGCGGTGGTCATGGTTGTGGTTTGGGGGTGGGGGTGGTGGGGATGGTGGTGTGGTGGTGTTTGTGATGGGGGTTGATCGCTGTGTTTTGGGTTGGGTTTGAGGAGGGTTGGGACTTGGTTAAGGTGTTGTCGGGCTAGAATGATGGGTGAGAAACAGGGAAGGACAGCAGGCCTTTTATATTTTGATCCCCTGGTTAGGTGCTAGCCGGGGGCCGAGGCTTTTGCTTCTCTACTCGATGCAAACATTAACTTGCTGTCCCTTTTAGTCTCGTGCGATTACTGATCGGTTCCTGGCACCATGACTTTGTAAGCGCAACTCTAAGTCTTGGATAAGTCAAACGTGTCCTGATCAGTAAACAGACGAGTAAGGACCAACCTGTACGTACCTTATTCCCTGATTCCTGGCCGTATCTCGTCAACATGGCATTGCGGCAGATCGTTTCACGCCGGGTACCAAAATCGAGCACCATCTCTCATTACAACATGGCCTGGGCCATTGCTAGCCACTGGCTTGATGTTAAACTTCGTCTCCCACGACAAAACCAACATGCGGAAAATGATATTATTATGCTCGCTCATTGATCGGTATTGGATCCTCTGTCTGCCTTGGGTAACGGATATGGGGAGCCGACTGTGCTTGGTAAACTAATGGCGTAGATCCCAAACCTCCGCGACCCGCGTCCCATTATATTTCCCTCTCCCAACCGATGTGCGCAGCAGTGACCTAAAAGAGGCCGGAGGGTCGGTATGCAGAGGCATACGATCGAACACGTAACCTCCCCGAGTGACCAATACATGGTTTTGGTTGATGTGTAGCTGGTATCTGGGTCCCGAAGCGAGCCGTATAGACTTGGCAGGCGGAGGCCAGAGATGATGCAGGTTCTGCGAGAGACTTGAAGTCAATAATCACGCTTTAGCAAGACGCTTCGAGGACGAGGAGCACAAACACGAATCCCAAGCAGAAAACGCCAAATAGGACGAATTTATGTAGCGGCGGCAGAGGCAACGTTTTTAGCAACGGCAGTGGCATGATAAAAATGAGAAGGTCGGTGATAAGATGCAGGATGCCGTAGGCCAGCCAAAACGAATATCGTTCCTCGCAGCTCCAGATCGGATCTTTAAGATCCCAGTTTTTTGAGACAGGAAGGCAGACGGTAGCGCCTCCAACAAGGCCAGCAACGGTCCACACGCCAAGGAAGGCTAGGAAGATGTCACAGAGCCGTTGGAAGTTGGGGAGCGGAAAGACGCGCCGATACTGGAGGAGGAAAGTCGACTTGAGCATCATGAGGGAGACATGGTAGCCCAAGGCCGAGACGAACAATAACTACGCCTCGTGTGAGCATGAAGATTGCCTCGGCGACATGACCCAGCACGTACCTTGTACAGCCCTGACCTATCCTCTTTAGAAAGGGCTTCGATGTGACGACCGAGCCCAAGTCGGCACGCTAGTAAGGGGTTAACATTGGCTGATGGATGGGAATCTAACGTTGGGTCCTGGGCACTATGTACCGATTCCGATCCCGATGACTCCCCCGATCGTTGAGAACTAGGAATCAGTGTTAGAATGCTCGGTTCCATGGATACTCCACCCGAGATAAACAGGACAATCAACAGGGGCTCGAACCAGTGTAGCAGCCAGGGCCATATCATCTGCTCCAAACTTCCGAAGAATACGGAGTCGGATATAGAAGCGCGAAGCTACGACAGTCAGGATCACAACCTGACAAATGACAGAGTAGACGATCAATGATGGAGCGATGCTCTCGTAAATGTTTGAAGGAGGGGTGTCGGCCATGTTCATTGTGACCTGTGCTGGCGCTGGGCCCAGCCTTTGGTTTCGATTTCCAAGACAAAAGGTAAACTCTGCTGGCACCCAACACCGGGGGGTGCTGGCGCGAGAGGTTCGGAGTCAGGGACACTAGGACGGATCACCAGACCAAGTGGGTTCTCGCTACGGACGGGCCATGATGCGAACGATATGATTATTCTTGTCAAATGGCGCGTGGCTCCGCGGACTTGGAGATGGGGGTGGGGAGTACATACAAAACCCGCAAGAACTCAAGTGTCGCGTTTCTTTTGGCTCATTGCCACTAGTTGGTCGTCCAATCAACCAATTTCTCGATGCTCCAGACATGTGGCCCCCAGCTGGCCATCTTCGGTCTTGGTAGCGTCATTGGTCGCTGGTTGTTATCTCCCAGCGTCCCAGAACGGAATGGGGTGTCAAGGATCTGCAAAGACCGCTATTGAACCGCCTTAGCCGGCTTCGAGCCGCCCTTTTCCAAGCCCCCGGGTTTCCGGCTGGGCCTGTCTGCCCCCGCAGCTGCAGTGCCAACCTTGACAGCCTCGCGGAACCTCCCGAGTATGCCCTATTTTGGGTATGCTATCCGGTTCTCGCCTTGTCATCTCCCACAAAGCAGGATGAAATGTTCAAGGAAGTGTTACTTCGTAGTACTTGTAATTACCATACCTGAATGAGTAAGAGACGACGAACACAACCATGAGCTCAATGTGTCGTTGATGTTCTTCGTATGCCAAGCATTTCATGGTCTCCCCCCTCTTATAGCGATTCGTCGATATAACTTGCGCCCCATTTCGGGCCTCCTTGGGAGTTTGGGTACCTCACTAGGAGAACCCTTTCATACCTAGAGTTTACATTGTACTACCAAGCCCGCCACTTGTTTCGACTTGAATACAAAAGAGGCGTGCAAAATGCGGTTCCATGATTCAAGACACAACGGCACACTTGCGGTGATCCGCTCCACTTTTATCTGATACTGCATGGGGGGAGATGTCGCCAAGCAACTTCCAGCCATGCCAGGCCTTGAATTCAGACACTGGGGCGCGCGGTCCGGGCCAATGATCAGGGCCATCACCCAAAAAAGCAAGCGAATTGCGAGTCAGAAATGTGCCACAGAAAGCTCCACCCGAATCAGTTCTACCGTGCAATATCATTTATTTGTCTGACGACCATCACCAAAACTGTTTTAGGGAGGTGAGATACCCGTTACCCGTATGTAAGGTACCTACCTACCTGCCTAACTGAGCGATGTAGAGACGCCTCAACACCTTCGGACCACCACCATAGAGACGTTCCAAATGCATGAGGAGCTCTTATCTCCCCACCAGTAAGGAAAAGGGATGATAAAGAAGGGGGATGTGGGATTGAAGGGCAGGTCAGGAAGGGTGTTGTGTTGTTGAGGCGGCAGAGGGCTTATGAGGCCGAGGACTTCCCCCTGATTCTTGTCATCCGAACTCAACAAAGGCACCACCTTCAGCCCCCACCTGCCCCCCACCCGCCTCGGGCCGGGCCGTGTCGAGCATCCATGCGCATCTGTGTCACGACGAGAGGCTTAGTGCAAGTAGTCGCGGTTGCTAATTGCGTTGCTGGAGCCGGTGCGCTGTTGTTTGGGCCGGTCTTGCTGGTGCTGGGGTTTGGGGGTTAGGAGGAAGAAGTGCGGGTGCGGAGGGTTGTTGGGGCAAAGGCGGAGGCGCGGGTGTGTTCGGGGGTTAAGGGCGTTGTAATATTGCGAGTGGCGTTGGTGTTGAAGAGGGCGACAAGGGCGTTGGCTGCAGTGGTGGGCACTGGGTTGTTGTACTTGCCAACGGTGCCTTGTAACCAAAAAGGCGCGGCCGCTTGGTGCATTTCATCGGAAAGTCGATAAACCAGTCGAGCCTCTTATCAAGGGCAAGCGAGAGCAAGAGGTGTCGGAGGGTTTGCAGCCTCGGAGGTTTTGGTCTGATTCACTCCACGTCATATGTTTTACTTCGTTAATAAGCGACTCGATGGCTTCGCCGAGGGATAACAGTCGCCGATCTGCAATGGTGTCAAAGCTATATCTTGCACTATGCAGTCAAACGCGTTGCTTTAGACTTGGACCCAAAAGTTGCTTCCCTCGGCGTTGATTCAAAAACGAACAACCCCAGCTCAATGTACCCCCGCGTGATGGTGTTGATGGAATTGTGACGAGATCATGCCGAGATCGAGGTCAAGTTGGACTGCGCATCTCGCTTAGGAACGGTGGAATTCAATGTTCAAGATGTTGACAGCGCCATGTCGGTTTTCTTCGGTGCGTGGGGGTTTTGAATCGTTGCTATGGTGGGCGATGCTGTCAATCTAAGGTCTCAGACCGAAAATACGGGTAGCCTAGTGAAGAGGAACCGGACTGGAGGCACAAGAGCGGGGTTTGCGACAGACGACCAGAGTTGGGACAAAACGGCCTGGGCGATTGCACACGAACTTTCCGGAAGTCGAGAGTCGAGACAACGATAGGTACCTAAGATAGGTAGGTAGGAAATGTGCGGGGTCGAGAACACACTCGCCTTACACGGTCTAATCGGCGAAGAATGACTGGAAGCGGATTTGGAGATGATATCGACAGAGTTTGGGGAACGTCGCCTCTCAAGTTGGGCGTCATTGACGGCTCGCTGCAAGTCTGCCCAAGCGGCGAGCACCTACTTCCGCCGCGAGTGTCCTTGGTTCGGCTGCATGAATGAGATGCTCTCCGGCCCAAGGTAAGGAAAGTGCATCCAGGGGCCTCAGTCTCCAAAAACATCACCGAACGCGAAACGACTGGACCTTTTATTTCCAAGCCCACCGTTCCAGACGGGATGGCGCCAGCTCCATCCTTGCCTCTTCAGTTCGACAGCTGGTCGGCAGATTTCGATTGTTTCGCCCCAGACGCCCCAGGACGGGTTTGTTGAATCGGTCTACTCGTTCCAGAAATCCCACCTTCACAAACAACCCCGAAGTTGCTGCTCCACGCGGGCATGTTCGAAATTGATAAACTCGAATGCCCGCAAGCAACCCTATCGCTGTGGGATCGCGCATACGACGCCCTCAAAAAAGGATCGTCTGTTGGTGGAGGAGTATGAGGGGCTCCTATCAATCGAGCTCTCGGCGTCGAATACGTGGTCCCGCCTGCGTTCATCTTTCCTCTCGTCATCTTACAAGCATGCATAGAACTAACATCATATGACAGATACTGAATACGGAGGCGAACCCTCTGCCTACGGCGGCACACCACGCGGAGACGACGAATACATGTACTCGATAATACACGATTCCAACCCCGCCGCCCGGCAAGCTCAGATGATCGCAATAGCAGAGGACGTTCTAGCCCGACTGGAAGAGAAGGCAACCCAATACCTCATCTTCGAACAGACCTACGTACTCAAGGACCAGATCACGCAAGCCGCAAAGGCGGTGGGGCAGCTCAAAGGGATAACTGGGGAGGCCGTTTCCCCATGCTTCCGTCGCCTGGGGAGGCATCTGTGTCGTCATCCTGCTGCTGATAAACCCAAGTACCGAGGCCCTACGTTCAAATCCTCGGAGAAAACCAGTTTGATGCCGTCAGCAAGCACGTGGGCCATGTCATAAAGCATCACGTACGAAAGCTGCGTCTCTTCTTTCTTCATCAGACGGCCAGGGAGTTCCTCATCGCAACGCCACCATCACCCGGACATGCCGCGCCGACTTGAAAAAACTATATCACGATACGCCAAGCTCGCACTGTCCTCGCCGAAGCCTGCGTGCTGTATCTGAGCTACTTTATACCCGACAGCTCTCCCGAAGACTTATACAGGAGAGTTCAGACCCGTCATATGGGCGAGGAATCCGATCATCAACACCCCCCTTTCCTCGGCTACTCAGCTAAATATTGAGGTACGCACTTGCGAGAGGCTGCTGTTGAACTGGAAGCCGTGATATTATCGGACGCGCGGATCTGTGACAGCACACCAAAGATTTTCTCGGCGTGAACCTACATGTACCGAAGGCACGATCAGCTCTACATTGCTGACTTTCCAGGTTTGGCTATAGCCTCGCGTTTCCGGCCAGCTGATCTTGCCGCGCTTCTTCTTGCCAAGGGCGCCGACGTTAATACCATGTGCTTTGACGGCTCGACGACGCTCCACACGGCCGTTTCCCAGGGCCACAAGGCCATCGTTGGGTTGTTGATCAAGAAAGGTGTCGCGGTCAACACATACCTTGGATTCCTTTGGCCACACACCACTTCATGCAGCTGCTGGCCTCGGATACGAAGCCATCATTGACCTGTTACTTGCCACTTTGGCCGACGTCGAGGGGGGAGACCGTGGGTGTTCGGCCAGTTGCCACTCCAATATGCGGCGAAGGGAGGGCATGAGAGTATTGTTGACCTGTTACTTACGAATGGAGCTGATATCGAGGGGGGTTTGTTCGGTGAGACGCCACTCCAGCACGCAGCCAAGGGAGGGCACAAGGCTATCGCTGAGCTGTTGGTTGTGAATGGGGCCGAGGAGGGCATGAAGCTATTGTTAGCATATTACCTACCTAATTGCGAATGGCGCCAAGGCTGATGTTTAAGGGGAGGTCAACACAAAGGGCAAGTGTTAGTAAGCTAGGTATTGTCGATTTACTAGGTAGTGTATGGATTATAAAGTTGGGATATCTGAATCATGTTCTTTCGGTATCTTGGCAACTCTTTTGACAGGTGTGCGCAGCCTAACCACCGGGCTGGCTAGATTGGTTGTGACACTGCAGTATATCTCCGCCCTCGGCTTCTAACTCCCTACTTGAGGGCCTTCTTGATCCTGACCTGCAGGCGTAGCTGCAGCCGACAAATGTCAAAGCCACACTGTTGACAATGAGTTCCTCGTGTCACCCGGTTCGAATCACAAACAACCCAAGAAACAATAGATGGGGTATGGTTCACGCCGAGTGGGTATTTATGCGATCCTCTTGAACAGCAACTCCTTGGTCGGATCCGGCACGGACTGTAGCAAACATGTCAGCCCTACTATTGGCAGAAGAGATTGGGGGGTTAGGAAAACTCACCGATGAACCGAATAAGAGGTTTGGGTATCTCTCGGTTACCCCTTCTGGGAGAGCCATGTCGTATTCGAGGACAAAATTGGCGACAATCATCTTGATCTCGTTGGCGGCGAAGAAGCGGCCGGGGCAGGCATGGCGCCCAAAGCCAAACTAAGCAAAGATTAGCCGAGTGTCATGGTAGGCACTGCTTCATTCCTCTGGCATCACTTACGGTTAGAACAGTCGGGTTGACGGAAACAAACTGGTTCTGGGCGGCGGCCTCCACTTGGCCGGCTTCGCGGGCCTCCTCACGCAAGCGGGAGAAGCGCCAGGGGTCAAACTTGTCGGCGTCCGGGAACACCTCGGGATCATGGCTGACGGCGGCGGCGGGGACCTCGATGACGACACCGGCCGGGATGACCTGACCGTTGGAGAGGGTAAAGGTCTTGTTGACCTTGCGCGAGAAGGAAACGGAGCCGGCCGGGTCCAGACGCATCGTTTCCTTGAGGAAGCTGTCGAGCTTCTTCATGGCTTGCAGTGCCGAGCTGGTGAAGACGCCATTGTGCTCGGCAAGCACAGTGCGGATTTCGTCTCGCAATTCAGGGATGTATTGCGGGTAGGCTGCCAGGTTGTAGAAACTAGAAAGCCTTAGTCCGGGCATCCCGGTAGTGCGAGGTCGGGACTTACACGTTGGTGGTCGTCAAGGTCGTGGTGTGGATGGCGGCGAAAGAAATGGCCAGTTGGATGGTTGCCAGCTCCGCCGTCGAGTACTGCCTGAACTTGTCCTGTGCATCCATAATCCACTGCAACATGTCGTCGGGCTTCTCGCTGTCCTGCATTTGACGCCTGGCAGCCACAATGGGACGCAAGAACTTGTCTGCCTGTGCTCGTCGTTGGTCCAGTTTCTTAACCTCGGGTAGCCGACTGCCGAGGAAGGGGCGTAACCAGGGGCGCATGGCCTCCAGAGCACGGCGGGCTTCCATTAACTCGAGGGTGTAGTTGATGGCGGCGTCGAGGTACTCCTCTGAGCGGCTGAGCTCGGCGCCAATGAAGATGCGGCCGGACACGAGCGCGACGATACGGAGGAGCTTGCGGTTAATGTTGAGGGAAGTCCAATCGGCGCAAGAAGGCAGCTCTTGGAGGATGGACTGCTGGACCTCTTCGGCAATGGTTGGGTTAAGGCGGACCAGGGCTGGCGTTAAGCTGGCTTTGACTGTGTGAGGAACCAGGGTTTCGCCGGTGGGGAGCTTGGTGTACTTGGTGTGCATGATTTGGGCGATAGCATCGTCAAAGCTGACGACATCATCTGGAAGCTTTCTGAGCTCACCCAGGAACTTTGGCGGCACGACGATGACGGTAAACTCTACAGGATATTAGTCGCTGCATGATCGAGCCGAGAAACACCTGATTCGGAATCCTACTGTTGGAGGTTACGATCCTGAAGACACTGTTTTTGAACTAGGGGCCGTTAGCCTTGTCGATGGGGGGTCCTGCTACGTAGGATTTCCGATCGACTAACCTTCTTGTAGCCATCAACGTAAATGTCGGCGGCCTTGGTCAAGTATGCTTGCCTCCGTTTCTCATCACCACCCAGGTGCTCGCCCGCAACGGGGAGGTTCGCGAGGGGTTTCTGACTGAGGACATTTTGGAGGAGCACGACGGCGAGGAGGGCGGCAAGGGTTGGAAGAATCAACGGCAACCTGGCGGTGACGGCTTCCGAAATTGCTTGTACATTCGCCATGGTGGGCGGCTGTATTGTGGTTTTGGTGAGGGCTGCACTGATCTTCAAAGCCCGATGTGAAACACATACATACAAAAGACGTGCAGGCGGGACAACGCCACCTTATAAACAGCATCTCGCTTTCGCTGCCGTCCCAGCCTTCCATCGGCGTATTCTCCCTGGCAGGTGGGCCACTTCACCCGGGGACAAGGCGATCCGGGGGTGATTGGGGTAGCAATGGCTGACACGAGTGACACAGTGTTTGGCAGTGACGTTTCAGACGACCCGCCGGAGCCACCAAAACGGCTGGGTTTGGGCTGGCTCGAGCCCGGTTCCCAGCACAGCCATGTCAAAATCCAGGCCAAGCCGGGAAATTAAGCGCAGATCTGACGCGGCATTGAGAGGGGGCTTGGCTCTGACTGTGTTATTCCTAGTATTCGTCGCGAATTAAGTCTAGTATTGTTTTGTTGACAGCTCGGGCTCATTACCGTGCCCCGGGACAGGATTCGGGATTTAGGCTTCTGTAAGATGGAAACGTTACTGGGAGGCGGTCAGCAAAGCACCTCCTCGCCGGCCTTCAAAATCGGCGTCCCAACCAAGCGCCTTGGGGGGAAGCTCCGAGTCCTTGCATGATGCATGGACACTCCGAGTGCACCTAAGCGACGAGAAAAATGGAGGCTTGTAAAACGCAAAAAGAAGAAGCGCATCAAATACGTGGATTCGTACTTTGTACGCCGTAGTATACAAGTATGTAGATAGATTAATGGCTCTTGTTGAACAAGATCGAAACATGGAAGCTGAGTTTCACAAGACGATTGCCCTGCGTTCACGGTTTCGGATCCTCTCTTAATTGGCTTCCACCTTTCTTGATGAGTGGTCACCAAGGCAGGTGCGCGTGCCAAGTGGCGATCCCCGCCAAACCGCAACAAACTTCGAAAAGGGGCGGGTGGCAGGTGAGCGAGTCGCAGGTGCGCGACATTGTTTTGTTGAACGGTTTCTCCAAATTGCCCCGAAATGACGTCTGGGGCTTTTCCGATTCTGCTGCCAGAGATTCTCTTCGATTTGTGGGCCATGACAGCCGGATAGCAGCTGCCGGATAGCAGCGGCCGGACCCACCTCCTCGCAACGAATTGAAGTTTTTTGGTTGGCTCTTGTCAAAGCCTGGGGATTTTGCACCCCACCAATTCCCGTTCTTCTGCTGAAAGATTCTGCCGAGACCGACAGCGACGAATCCCCCCACGGGCTCGCTTTCGCTTTTGCCTGGTTTTTGCTTGTTACTCGTCGCCGTGTCCGACTGACCATGGCTCGCCTGCGCCTGGGTTATACTAAGTCACGTACTGGGTGCTTGAGATGCAAGCAACGTAGGGTCAAAGTGAGCAAAGTGACGCGTTTTGTTTTGTTTCCCCGAGTCCGAGGCCGTTCCTGATCACGCCGGGACCCGTGTTTACTGACACCCAGTGCCATCAGTGTGACGAGACCAGACCATCTTGCAAAGCATGCCTCCGCCATGGCATCGAATGCAGTCTTTCCAACCAGTCCGACATCGCATCCCCGACGGCTAGTTCTACCGCTGCCGGCACGCCTTCGCCAGGCCCGGGTCCGTCTTCTCTGCCACCAGACCTCCGGAAAATCCGGGTGAGGGCTCTCAACCCGAAGCCCACGCTACTGCAGCCACCCACTCCCGGCCCACCAGGAGAATGCGGCCCGGATCCGGTACCCTCCCCGAGCGGCTCGGCACGCACGCCATCTACCGACTCCCCTGTAGCAACCACCCCCGACCCCTTTCCGTACCTGACCAAGCTCGTCACTGGCCCGGCTGAGGAGGACACGGCTAACTGGGTCTTCGACCTCGAGTTGCTCCATCACTTCACCACGTCCACCTATGAGACCTTCATGATCGACTCTGCGCGGCTCGAGATCAACCGTCTGTGGAAGATGGAGGTGCCCAGGCAAGCTTTCAGCCACATCTTCTTGCTCCACCAGATTCTCGCCGTAGCATCCTATCACCTCGCCCACCTGCACCCCCAAAACCGCCAGGCGTACTCGCTCCGCGCATCACAACACCAGAACGCTGGCATCCGGCGTATGCGCCTCGCCCTTCCAGAGATCTCGCCCGCCAACTGCCACGCCCTGTTCGCCTCGTCGTCCCTCCTCTTTATAGGCTCCCTCGCTGCCGCCTCCACGAACCGCGTCACCGGTGGGCCTACCGTGGACGACATCGTCGACGTGTTGATCCTGGTCAAGGGCATCGGCAGCGTGTTGTACTCGTCCCAGGACCTGTTACGGTCGGGCCCTCTCTCGGAGTTGTTTGTGCAGCACGGCGGCACTGAACTCCCCAACCCGGCACTGGACCGCGTCGTGCTGGCCGTCGGGGATTTTTTGGTCGAGATTGCCGAAACCGAGGCCGACGACCGGGTGCGCGCCATCATCCATGCCGATGCGTACCGCCTGGTGTCGGTCATTCGGGACTCGCTCTCCAAGTCCGCCAGCGCCGAGTACCGCGTAGTCGCGGCGTGGCCGATCCAGACGTCGGATGATCTGATACCGTTGTTGAGGCAGCGGAACCAAGCTGCGCTGGCCCTGCTCTCGTACTACTGTGTTGTGTTCCACGCCGCGCAACTGCAGGGGTATTGGTTCATGCAGGGCTGGGCTGAGGGGGTAATACAGGATATCGCCCGGACCATGACAGGGCCGTGGCAGCGGCACTCTGCCTGGGCCCTAGGCTGGATCACCGGACATGCGGCGATGGGGTGAGCTGCCGGAGTAGCCTCGCGCTGGTTTTTGTAAGCGGCGAGAGAAGGCCGCTCAACAAGACCGTTCAGGCCACCAAAACCACCAACTAGAAATGCTGGCGGGTGTTCATGGTCTCGCCGACCATGGTCGGGTCTTAACAGCTGTCCTTTTGGATGTCGGGATCCGCACCACGTTGCAATTCACCAACTCAGCACAGAGTTGACGCTTTTTGTCTTATTCTTTCACGCCCTTAAAAAGCCTTCAGATAATTGGCCCCTGGCCTGTCAGTCTTGAGTCCAGTCCCATAACCACAAGCCAACCAACCAAATACCTGCACAACCCCCCCTCCCCTACCTCCATCAAGCCCAAGCTTACCTACTTCCCCTCCGGAAACCTCCGAAACATATCCCGCAGCTTGTCCAACGGCGTGGCCAGCATGCCCACGGCCGTCTCGTACGGCGGCCGGTCCGGCGCGGACGGGTGGCTGCGCGTCGGCACGAAGTGCTTGGTGCGGTCGAAGCTGCGCGCCAGCTGGCCCGACGCCTCGTCGTCGAGCGCCTGCTCCAGCGCCGGCAGGTCGTCCCGCTCCTCCTCCTGCATGTGCTGCGCGAGTGCCTCCCAGAGCGAGTCGATCGTGGAGTGGAAGGTCGGGTCGGTGGGGGCGAGGGATTGGAATGTGTGGAGCTTTTCTTTGACCTGGAGATGGGGGTTGGGTGTTAGATGGGGGGTTTGGGTGGTTGTGGCCTCCCGAGTCGCGGGTTGGGTGAGGGCGGGGTGGGAGTCACATACCTGCTGGTGTTCAGACCGGTCCTTCTCGGCCATGACCATGCCGTTGGGGATGTGCTTCTCGAACGCCGGGTACACGACGATCTCCTCGGCCACCGAATGCCGCGCGAGCTCCCATACGAACTGGTTCTGCCACTTGACCTTGTCGTCGTCGCGCTGCGCGTTCTTGATGTTGTTGTAGTACTCCCGCAGCTCGTCGTGGTCGTGCTTGATGCGCTCCGACACCCGAGTCGCCGCGCTCGCAGCCATGGTTGCTCCCGTCGGGGTGCCCTGCCGAGTCTCAGTCGACTGGAAGCGGATTGGGAATGTGATAAAGGGACGAGTGTTTGGGTTCGTGAAGGTGTGTCTGGCTGCTTGTGGGGTAGTGGTTGAGGCGGGACGAAGTGCTTGCCGGTACATGGTTGGTTAAAAAGGGGGTGGTTAGAAGAATAGAGGAGAGCCAGGTGGCCAAGCAAGGACAATAAAGCCTGCGTGGACGGACCGCGAAGCTCTTCTTGTACTTTTTGTAACTCTAGTGTACGGTTAAGTCATGATCAAAGGCCCAGGCCTGGGCCTCCATGTCTGTTCTGAGATACCGGTATTGCTAGACGCAATGTCAACGGAGGTATTGTTCCTGGAGGCTCTGCGCGTCATGGCTCGGAAATCGGTGTACTTTAAGTGGCTGCCCGTAGCTTTTCTTCCGGAGGTACGGGGCGTTGATATGAATGTCCATTGTGAGTGGGTTGCCTGCCCTTTGAGGAAGCTGGTGATGTCATGATACTTCCTACAGAGTGGAACCCAACAACCCAGCCCTGGAATCGCCGCTACATGACACCGATCGATGCTCAGGACTTTGAATGCGATTGGATTCGCGGCGTCAGGGGCGCGAAAGCTTTGTCCCGGCTTTGAGTCACAAGCCCCCAGAGCTACTTCCATTGCAGTTATCACGCTGTGGGCAAACGACACTGGGTCTCTCGTTGACCTCGATCCGTCATCTTTGGAAACGGGTAATGTGATGCATCCACATGCTATATACATATTCCCAGCTTATTTACAACCGGCCCAAAGGGTACCTTCAATACATACAGAAGAACTTCCCCAAATAACACCCAGCCGGCGCCATGGCACCAACAATCCCCAGACTCAGAGTGCTGCAACTGGAGTAGCAGCTAAACAACCGTCACGCCTCCGAAACCACGGCTAGAAAACCGCTTACAGGCACTGCGAGTACCAGTCGTTCTGCTTCTGGCAGGTCCAGGGGCTCTCGCAGCGGGTAGGGCCCTGCCAGCCAATGCCGCCGCACTGGCCCCAGCGGGGCGAGGCCGCGCCACCGGTCGGGGTGGTGCCGACCGAGGTGGAGGTGGGGGTCTGGGAGACGGGCGGGGTGGTGGTGACGGTGATGAGGGTGGTGGACGAGGCGGGCGGGCTGCCGGTGGCGGCGGCGGCGAGCACCGACGAGATGGAGGTCCATGCGGGCTTCTTGTTGTAGTTGCTGTCGTAGATCATGGCGTCGCCCTCGCCGGGGAAGGTGCTCGGGATCCACGAGTGCTTGTCGGTGAAACCCCAGACGGTCACGCCGATGCAGCCGTCGACGTCGAGGCACGAGCCGACCACGTTGGCGTAGTCGTTGCCCTGGGTGACGGACGCCTGCGAGGAGGCGGGGAGGCTGGAGTGGCGGATGTCGAGCTCCGTGTAGGCGACCTCGACGCCCAGCGCCGTGAAGCGCTTCAGGGTGGTGGCCAGGTTGGCGCGGCTGGGGGTGCTGCCGACGATGAGATGGCCCTGGAAGCCGACGCCGTCGATGGGCGCGCCCGCGGCCTGGACGATCTTGACGAGATCGACGGCATAGTCGGTCTTGGCGGCGTTGTACTCAAGGTTGTAATCGTTGTAGTACAGCTTGGTGTTGGGGTCGGCCTTCTTAGCTAGATTGAAGGAGAGCGGGAAGTAGTCAGTGCCGAAGGTGCGGAGGAAGACGCTGTCGCGCCATCCGCCGCTGTCATTGACGGCCTCGTTGATCACGTCCCACGCGTAACACTGGCCCTTGTAGTGGCCCATGACGTTGTTGATGTGCGTCTCCATGACCGAGGTCAGGGTCTGCCTGTTCCACGAGCCTTGGGAGACCTGGGTATGGGTTAGCAAGGACGCGGCTTTGACAACCCTCTCACAAAAAATGGACTCACCCATGAAGGGAGCTGGCTGTACCACACGAGAGCGTGGCAGCGGAGACCCTGGCCGTTCCTTTTGGCCGTGTTGGCGGAGATGTCACCCTGGTTGTAGTTAAACTGGCCGCGCGAGGGCTCCGTGCTGTCCCACTTCATGCCGTTCTCAGGGACGAGCTGGCCGAACATGCTCTTGTCGCTAAGAATGGCGGCATACTGGCTGTCGCTGTTGATGGTGCCTTCGCCGAGAGCCGTACCGAAGTATTTCAGACCAGCGCGGACGGCGAGGTCATTGAGCTGGGCCGAGACGGCAGGCACCAGGAGGGCCGATAGGAAAGCGTTGGCATGCATGTTGCTGACCGGGAAAGACGATACCGACGATGGGGTTGAAGAGAGACGTGGGTGGTGAGAGGGCAGCAGAGGGTTGGACGAGGGAGGCGCCAGAGGCTTTATAATTGCCTAGAATACCTACCCCGTCAACCCTCCGTACCACTTGTTATCCTTGCCTGGGTCTGGCTCGAATCTCGGCAATGGGCCATCGGCTCGTCGTCCCCACGGGGCCGCATCGCCCACTCACCCCCCCGTGATCTGTGAACGGCCATGGGTTGGTTCATCCAACCGATCTGCTTCTAGCTTCGGCTTGCTCCGGCCTGGAAGCTTCGAAGCCGAGTCGAAGCTGGTCGAGGTTGGTCTGATCGTGAATGATGGGCCCACTGGTGCCGGGTCCTGCAGTGGATAACCTTGGGTTGGCTACCATCGCTGCTCGTCTGAACGGTCACCTAACCCGGTTTTGCTTCGGAGGATCTTCCGGGGTACGCAAAAGGGGCAGCCAAGGCGACGCCAATTGCTTGTGAACCCGGAAGCTGGCAACCTTCAGAACCCCACTGGCGCTAGCGTGCCCCTTAATCCCGGCACCCCCGGAGGTTTTTAGGTTCCTCAGTGCTCCCCAACTCCGCTCGCCACGTGACAATTAGCCTGAAGGCCGCGGGCTGCAACCTTGCTGTCAGTGTGGTTGCGGTGGCATCGGAGACTGAGTTGATGATGCCGTCGGGAAGAATAGGAAGTTGGCGAGTGTGATGCCATGTGTGCTTGCGCGCAAATAACCGGCGCACTTCGACTCGTGTGAGGTAGTCTTGTGGTATGTATGTACATGGACACACCGGGATGCGGCTGAGGCTTGAGGGCTTCCTTGGCCTGGGACTTGTCAGGCAACGCGCAGAAGCCACTTCCCGATGGGGAAGCCGGAAGGTACAGGAAGCATGTCAAGCGTATGATCCTTGATTGAGGAAGAGTCTTGCCTCCGCAAATCAGAGTCTACGTGTATTGCCACGGCAACGAGGGCCATCATTTGTTGTCGTTAAGTCTGGACAAAGCGGTATCTTCCGCAAGAGTAGTTGTAATTCATTGTATGTACCTTTCGGCCGAGCTTTCCTTTTTGGCGTTCGCCTCAGTGTATGTACTCTCTGGTACGTTGCTCGTGTTATACCCGGATCTTCTTTCCCTTATGCGAGCAGGTATGCCCGCCCCTGGCTTCTTCGGCCAGCGCGGTCCATCTCTTGAAGCTTTTAATCACCCCGCGGCGGGTGTGGAGGTTGAGGCTTGTCTTGTCCCGGGGCGGAACGCCGTCGAGCGAATTTGCCAGCCTCGCGGCAGCGCGAGCAGCGGCTCTAGCATTGAGAGTGAGGGCCTCCCAGTGGATGTTGTCTAGGTTGTCACACGCCTGATGGTAGCACGCATCGTATGGCGCACCGGCACCAGTGTGCAGCGACGCAGTTGGGATGCCGAGCTCGACGAACCCGACGAAGTCTGAGCCGCTGCCGAATTCACTGAAGGGCCAATGTTAATACATTTCTACATTTCGGAGATCTGGGGGAGGTCCTAAAAGAGTGAGCTGACGTACCCGTGGCGGACATCGATCCCTTTGGTGACAAGATACTCGTCGAGCAGTTGCGGGCCGACGCCGCTGTTCTCGTTGCTGGCAATGCTGTAATCGGGCTGCGGGGAGCCGATCATGTCGTAGTTGAAGTAGTACCTGATGCTGTCGGCCTCAGCCTCGGTCAGGTGCGAGGTGTAGTACAGCGAGCCGACCAGGCCGCTCTCTTCAGCTCCCCACCACGCAAACCGAATCTTGTTCGGGAAGTTGTCATAGCGCCTAACCGCAGTCATGATCTCCAGGAGGGCCGCCGTGCCGCTGCCGTCATCGTTCACGCCCGCGCCCTTCTGCACACTGTCCAGATGCGCCCCAAGCATGACCACATTATTCGGGTCGCCTTGCTTGGTCTCAGAAATGATGTTCCAGGTTTCGCGGGTCTCAGAGATGGAATCGACGAGCAGAGTCGCGGTCACTTCTTCGCCGGCTGCCAGGCGGGACTTCCAGTCTTGGCCGACCTCTAAGGGAATGATACCGATGGGGACCATGCGCCCGATGTTTTCGGCACCCAGCGTGGGAACGACAATGTTGGTCCCAGGGACTTCGTCATACAAAATGACACCTGTTCCGCCGCAAAGCGTCAGAATCTCTCACCCGAAGCCATTGAATGTAATTGAATCCGCAGGTTCAATACTCACCTAAAGCGCCGCGCTCCTTGGCGAGAATAGACTTGTCCGCCACAGCGCAAAGGCCCCTCTTCACGAGGGCCAATTTGCCCTTCACATCCAACCCCTCCCACTGATCAGCGAAGCATGCTGACCCGCGCTCATCGTCAACGGGGGTATCCACGAGCGCGGCGGTGATGCCGCCGGATACCAGTGTGGGCGGGTTGTACTGGGGGCTGATGACGAAGACGTCCTCGCCCTCAGGGCCCGTCACGCTGATCTTCAGGGTCTTATCGTAGGTGTGGTTGAAGGGCTGGACGAAGGTGTCGAACTTGTCGCCGAAGCGGGTCTGCGCGCGCTCGAGCACAAAGTCGAGCGACGCCTTGAAGCCGGGTTCGCCGAAGGCCCGGTTGCCGCCGTGGGTCACTGCGATATGGTTTAAGTTCCAGAGGACATTTTGGAGTCTGGGAGTTTGGTCAGGCGGGGAGGGCCGGATTGTTGATGGGTTGGGGGGTGAGATTGGTCGCTTACTCTTCTGTTTTGATGTCCGCTTCCAGCTTATCCGCGGTCAAAGGGTTGTTTGTCGCCACCGTGGTCGACGAGAGGAGGAGCGTCGCCGCAACTGCTGTTGTCGTGTGGGGTACCTTCATCGTTCCTGCTTTCCGTCTGAGGATCTTCGCCGGCGCTGATCGAAGACTTGATCTAAAGATGCAAGAGATTGAGGTGCACAACGATCCCACATTGATTGCCGGGATAACTACTGCGCTGCTCCTTTTTAACGGCCCGCTCAGCCAAGGTCTCCAGACTTCGACTTGACTGAAGGGAGAAGGTGATGATTTAGCCCGCGATGTCGTCAGACCCCATCCATGCCCGTAACAGGCTGTTTTGAACCATGCTTGCCCTGCCGACCCCGATTAGAGGTCATGGTAACCGGCATTTGCAGCAAATTGCCAAGCCGCCTTGCTGCAGACAACACCCGCAAGTGGAAGGTGATGAGAGACCTTCCATGTTGGCTCGTGGGGCCGCATCTCAAAAAAGCTCGGCATTCATTGTCTTTGTGGTCGGTTTACGAAGTAATCGCACTGCGAATGGCCTTGGTCTGTGGTCAATTACCCCTGCTTTCCTCAACAAGACTCATGCCCTCATTCAATTTGCACCTTCCTTTTTTACTTTTCCACATTCCAAACTCGAAGATCACCGAGTTACTTGATTCCCTAGGGACACAGATAATTGAGACCGAATCTTGTTGGTTTCTGAGAATTGGGGTATTGAGAAATACGTGCTTATAAGCTTGCTCGCTCCATGACATTCAGCATGGCGAATGAAGGTCTTGAGATCAAGAATGAAGGTCTTGAGACCAAGAGTGACGCATATAATGGTAAATAATGAACTCATTGAGTACAAGCACTATCACGATTGAAGATGGATTCAATGGATGGGAACAACAACCAAACCATGACTGGACGTGATACCGCGTGTTTGGGATACCTATCACAACTTTCACACTGAGGCACTTAGAGGTACGATGGACAACAATATTATGTAGCTAGAATTTGAGAAGCCGCACTCTATATGGCATCTTTTCTCCCTGAGAAGATTCTTTCGTTAACCAATCGGACCTGAATGAGAAAGGCGGCGGGCGGGGAGCCGTGTCTCGGCCCCACTCTGGTCCGACCCACCTATCATCGGCGCCGGGATTTTGACGTCCTCCCACGGCTTGTGACCCGGGTTCCACTTGCAGCAGTGCCAACCATTACCAGAGAGAGTTGAGTAAAGGAATCAACCTCCATCCTAAGACCCATCCTGATCTTGGCAGTAAACGGAAGAAAGGATGCAGAATGTGCTTTTGTCTTACGCCTTCACAGGGATGACAAGACCAGCCGGGTCACATTAAGTTAATATGCCGGTCTTGAAAAACGTGGACTCAATTCCAAGGACTTGTTTCCTGGAGTTGTGGTCAAGGGAACTCAGGGAACAGAATCAAAGCCATCTCGCTAAATGGGAGGATGTATCAACATGCGTGCAATGATAGATGTCTGCATGTCTGAGATGGACCTGATATTGTTTACTCCCCCTCATATTACCATTGGGTCTGCATTAGGGTATTGAGACAATAGGAATCAAGTCCTGGAATGGAGAGGACAATGCTTCAGCCTCTTGGGCTGGAGTGTTCACCCAGTCTCATCACTTCGAGCCCAATTCTGGCTCTTTCCCGCATGAATGAAGGAAGTGAAGCCTCAGGCCGGAGCTGTGGTGCATAAAAACACCAAAGAGGTGCTCCGCTTTGTAATATCTTCACAGGGGCTTCCCTCTCCTCAGCCTTCCACACCCACCTCTTGCCTACTGATGTGATTTGAAAAGAATTTTCACAAAATCTCGGCGTCAACACCACCAAATACCTGTGTTTCTTTTCTTGAGACCCGCATTTCTAGCCCTAGCTGATTCACACCTGCCAGAGAAGCATAAATACCCCTCCTCTCTCCTTCATTCTTCCTTTCTCTTGCAACACCACAACTCCGACATCCAAGTCACTTCACCTCGAGAGACCATCACAATTGCATCTCGATCCTCTACCATCTTGAGCTAAGACTGCTTCATCAATCTCTTCATTCAAGTAAGTAAGCCTCCCAGTTCCACTTGTTTCCTTCGACCAAAACATTCTGGATCCGACTTCAGCAGCTTCGATCAAGTCGCGTTGCAGAAGCCCCATTGCTGCCAACGTCACCTCCATTCATGACTCCAAGTCGCGAGCCTTCAAAACGGAGCTCAATGACATATGTGTTGCTCGACGCGTTGTATACTCGACTAATGTGGCTTTCCAGATTTCTAGAAATAGCACATCACGATGCCTCCCAAGTCGAAATATACCAACAGGGCTGAGGACACCGCTGGCAATGCCAATGGCGACGGTCCGCTTTCCGTTCTCACTGCTCGAGAGCAAACCATGTTGCTTCAGGGCCTGCTTACCGTCCCTGGTTTCCCTGGCGTAAGTCCATCCTTCTGGTTCCTTCGCTTTGACGCTTCCCCCCCAGTGCTCTGGTTCTGTCCCAGAAACACCGGGACTTTCCTCTCCGTTTCACCGGTGGTTTCGGCCTCGGCTGTTACATCAGAGAAAACTCCAGAAACTCCCGCCCAACGCGCCCGCACCTGCTCCCAACGCCGCTAACACACACTCTCCAGGGCATTCAAATCGACTACCCCAAGGTCGCCGAGCGCATGGGCCTGAAGAATCCGCGTTCCGTCGCCAACGCCTGGAGCCTTATCAAAGGCAAAATCAACGCGTACGACAAGAAGTACCGCGAGGACAACAACCTCCCCTCCGCCGCCGAAGAGGCCGCCGCCGTCGCACAGGCCGACGACGCCGAGGACGAGAATCCGGCCCCCAAGAAGCGCGCCCGCGCTTCCAAGATTATTAGCGCGGCCGCCGCCAAGTCCGCCGTCGCCCCCGCCCCCCGCTGCCGCAAGCCCGCGGCTGCCGCGAAGGCCCCTCGCTGGCCGAGGCACTCCATCATGGGCCCGCTGTCGGAGCCCCTCGCCACCCCCGGCGAGTGGGAGGAGGACGAGGAGGAGGCGGAGGAGGAGATGGGTGCCGCCGACCTGGGCGAGATTTAGGACCATGTTGTTTGTTGCCGTGGTTGGGAGCGCTGCCTCCCCTCTCTTTGCTGTCTTGTTGTTTTGCCTTTTCTTGTGTGCCGGGAATTTCCTGGCTTGGAGTCTGGGGGCGCTGGGGCGGCTGGGCGTAGATTAGCAGAGGCCTGAGGGCCTGCAGGTAGCAATACCTGCCCCATCAGGCTGGTTCCTTTGCTTTGTGATTTGATCTAAAGTGCCATTGTCGCCACTGAATTCAGACCGACAGCATTCTTTCATCCTGATATTTCACCGCAGCGCACAAATCGCGAGGACGGGCGCACCCTGCGGCGGGGATACAGAAAGCGAAGGTGGGTAGAAAAGGCGAAGAGGTTCACAAAACGCAGAGGGGCCGCAGAAAGCGAAGAGGGACATGAACAGCAGAGCAGGCCTGTAGTTGCTAGAAATCTCCGGGCCTGCCCTGTCCCAGGTTGCAACAATGGTGATTTTGTGTACCAGTTACTTTCCGGCTTCATGTCTGACCTACCTACGGCTCGTCGTCGCTGGCTGCAGTATCGTCGGCATCGGTCGCGGCCGCGTCATCGTCCGTCGCAACATCAACATCGGTTGCGACGTCAACATCGGTCGCGACGTCAACATCGGTCGCGACGTCAACATCGGTCGCGACGTCAACATCGGTCGCGACGTCAACATCGGTCGCGACGTCAACATCGGTCGCGACGTCAACATCGGTCGCGACGTCGGCATCAATGAACCTGTCAAATTCGAGTTCACCATCTTTGCCGAAGATGCCAGCAGCGATGGCGTGAAATTCCGGACACGTTCTCGCATGGTGATCCAAGGCCTCGGCGACCTTGGTACTGAATGACACGAGTTGGCCAATCGTCTTCGTCAGTTCTTTGATACGTGCCTTGTCCGTCTGAGCGTTGTCGTCTATCGACATCCTTGCGCTGCGTTCGAGGATCCCTTCCGGCGTAAGGGCGCCGATGTAAATCAGCACCTTTCTCATCTCGTTGGAGTTTTTACCCTGAGAGTTGGCCCGTTTCTCAAGGTCGGCGACCTGCCGTTGGAGTGTTTTGCACGGTCGGTAAGCTGTTTCATGTCGTCGACGGTCGGCCTAGTATCGAGCTTTTTGTTGTGTAGGGTGGTGAGGGACTCGACATCTCTGATCCTGGTGTTCAGTTTATCGAGGTACGCAAGAAACACAAGACGAACTAAACCGAGAGGAATATGCCCAGCACGGCCCGCCGAATCCGCAACGTACCCTCCTGATGCAAAGGACAGCCATCCAGTACTGAGGTATTACGAGCCACAACGTAGGGCAGGGTCATTTCCAATGGCTGGGTTGTTACCGCCATGGTTGGCCTGGTCGTCATCGGATTCATTAGTCTGCTAAAGTTACGCAAGTTCTGGTCTGGATTCATGAAACAGATCCGCCATCGTGGGCGCTACAGCAGCATCCCTGAAGGCCCAATACCTTTCACTGCTTTCAGCCGTCTCGCCTGTGCCCGGAGGCGGCCCACTCCCACGAAGCTTGACCCTGCCAAGCAGCAAACAGACGATCTCCCGAAGCCAATGTGGGTAGTTGGAGACGACGAGACACAAGAGTTTGGCAAGGGTCCGGGTGGATAGCGTCCATAAGTACCTACCTAGGTAAGGAGGTTCATGCGGGGTAACTCAGTCTCTGGGAGGTGCAGGCCCGAGGGATGGAAAGGGTAGCGCTAATGCTGGCAAACTTGGAGGAACAATGAGGGGAGCTGGAAACGGCGCTGAATGAACCCCACCACAGTGACCATTTGGTGTTTGGAATAGAAGGCGCTCGCCCCGCGGGGCTCAGCCTTATCTCTCATGCAACTTGCAACTTTTCTGACAAGAAAATGTACCAAACTACCACCGAGCGGCCCTCTCCTCTAATACGCCTGGGAGTTATTTGACGAAACAACCGACCATGGAATCCGCGATCCTCGCGGCTGCTGCTTCCGGCGCCTCTCCCGAGTTTGGTATTCTTCGCAGCAAAGATTACAGGAGGTGCGAACATGAGTCTGAGTTGATCTAGACCATCATCGCAGTTTGAAACTGACCATCATCGAACACCAGGTCGGTCCCGATTCCCAACCAATACCCAGCCAAGCCCTCGTCATGGACCTACCGATTGTCACCAAGCGAGACATCCTATGCCCAATCTGAAGTTCACCACCCAATCTCTCCTGGAGACACGATATCAGATGCACGACTCAGTTCAAAGCCAACATACACCGTCATAATTATTCAATATTACTCCTAATCGAACATCATTCGCATCGTACAATAACAAGAGACGCCAAACCATCCCACGCCAAAACTCAAGCCCACCTACAAAACATGTCCCAACTCCTTCTCCGTCCACTCCCACAACCTCCTCGCCAGCTCATCATCCGTTCCCAGCGGACTTGCCTTCCCCGGGATACCGACCGGGTGATAAAACTCGCCACTGACCACCCCCACCGTCGCGACCGACGCCCACAACTGGTTGCGTACGCCGCGATCCACGGGCGTGAGCAGGTTCAAGCCGACGGCGACGCGCGTCATGCCGCGCACGACGGCGGGCACGCCCGTGGCGCGCTCCATCAGCGACGTCTGCACCACCCCCGGGTGCACGGCGGCCACGGTCAGCTGTGGCTGGGCCCGCGCCAGCTGCCGCGCCCACAGTATGTTGGCCAGCTTGCTCTGCCCGTACCGGCCCACGGGGCCGAGCGCTTCGGCGTCGGTCTTGAGGCTGTCAAACACGATGCCCGCTTTGGGCGCCATGTTGTGGCCGTCGGAGGAGAGCGAGATGACGCGCACGTCGGCGACGGCGGATGGTGCGAGATGGGAGGATTGTTTGATGGTGCTGTCGGTGGTGGTGGCGGTTTTTGTGAGCAAGGGGAGGAGGAGTTTGGTCAGCAGGGCGTGGCCCATGTGGTTGGTGCCGAACTGGGACTCGTAGCCGTCTTTTGTGAGTCCGGGCGGCGTGGCCATAATGCCAGCGTTGAGCATGAGGATGTCGAGGCGCGGAGAGGTTGAGAGGACAGTGGCCGCGGCCTTTTTGATGGAGGCGAAGGAGGAGAGATCGAGCTCGAGGACTTGGATGACCGCATTGGGGACTTGCTGTCTGATCTCGTCGATCGCTGCGTTCCCCTTTTGGATACTCCGCGAGCCTAGCCAGATGAGGCTGGGGTTGTGGCGGGCGTATTCGAGGACGGCTTGTTTGCCAAGGCCGACGTTGCCCCCTGTGACGAGAATCACTTTGCCATCGAGAGGGGGGATATCTTTCTCAGACTCGAAAGCTACCGATTTTGTTTGGCAGATCATGATGGAAATTGTGTTGGTCTGGTGGAAAGGTGGTGTTGTGTAAGGGTCAGACTGACAGACGTTGGATAAGGGCGATGGCGAGATGGTTGGCTTCGGTCGCGGCCAGGGCTTAGAAGAGAAAGATGGAACTGGGGTATGGAAGGATTGAGCTTGTGAATAGGTGCTGTTGTCGGCAGCTCACGGGCTTTATAGAAGGTCTCACCATACCGCTTCCAGATCTCGACTTCTTCAACTCGCATTCAACCCGGCTCGGACCGACCATTCATTTCAACATCGGGCAAAGCGAGAACCCGAGCGAGGCGTCAAGGTATCATCCTAAATGCGTTGATCTTCCACCTTTCCTAAAACGGAATACAATCGAGTGGAGTCCTTGGCATGAATACCCCTAGCTGCCAATCATCTGAATTCATAGCCCTGGACCCCCCCTAGCGCCGAGCCAGGCTGAGTGAGGTGAGATCAACGTCACCTCTTTCCAGCTGGCGGCCATAAAAAGTCGCCATGCTCATTCTGGAAAACAATGTCGTGGAGTGAAACGAGGAATTTTGTTTTTTAAGTCAACTTTAGCGGACGAAGATAGGAAAACACGGCATAACACATAGCCACGTCACTGACTCACTGCAGCATTTGATCGAACCACACCTGACGAGTCGACGTTGGGCCTTTCCGTCGGCAACATTTGCTGTGCTGGCCTGCATCTACGGTAACATCCCGCTCGTACATATTCCGAATTGCTCGTCTTGCCCTATGGCGTCTATGGCGCAAAGTGAGTTTCGATATGGACCTCAATAGACTCCTTCTGAGTTGACCACCCAGCAGGCTCCGGTGACCTTTTCATTGTCAGCACATCCCTTGCAAAGCCCGACGCGACAACACGTCGATTCATACGTAGCCATGTAATGAGAGGGAAGAATGCCGGCAAGTTCAGAACTGATCGCATCAGGTCTGGCCCCCAGGCCGGCCTAAAGCGCAAAGGTGCCGTGGCGCAGGCTACGTACACCCCCGGAGCCTGGCAGGAAGCAGACGATGCGGAAGCGACTGCTGTGAACGGCTGGAAAGTGGTAACCCCCCACAGAATTGCATCAGAGCTTTCACTGCTGGGTTATGGGGGCGAAATGCAACCATACGTGATTAAGCTCATCCACAGGGGTAGGTTCTGAACCGGAGCCGGCGCTAGATTGGTTGGGTGTGTATTCGTTCGCTGATGGATCCAAGCATTGACGGTTGTCAAGCCGGAAATGTTCGCCATGCAGCATATCACAACTGCGACCGCTGACGATGACAAGATGTTCTGTTTCCCCGACCTTGCCCAGCACCCAGGCATCCTCCACTCCACTCTCTTCGCCGCTCAGGCGTTTTTCGACTTGGCTACCGGCCAGACTTATGGCCCGGTGGCCCGGCACCACCTCTCCAAGGCACTTGTACACTTGCAAGCGAGTCTTGATGACGAGAAGGAAGCCGTGGGGTTTGCCACCATGGGTTCCATAGCGTCACTGGCCATGTCAGCCGTCGTGGCGGGCGACTTCGAGACGGCCGTCAAGCACATGGACGGCCTCAAGAAGATCATCGATCTCCGCGGGGGGATGGAATCGTTTCGCTCGGACAGCATGATCGGGCACAAGGCCCGCGTGTAAGCCCACCCCACCCCCTCTGCTCCCGAACACACACCCTTGTGTTCCCTGTCCACACCCACACCCACACCCACACCCACACCCCCATAAAAACAAGCAAACTAACCCCACCCCACCCGTAGCATCGACATCGGCCTCGCCATGGGCCTAGGCCACGACCTGCGCTTCACGCGTGAGGACGAACTCTCGTGGTCCCCGCAGATCGCGCTCGGGCCGGGACGATCGGCCCGCCAGTTCCCCGAGCTGGATGCCGCGGTCCCGCCGCACATGCGGCCCGACCCGCGGCTGCTCAACGTCTGGGCCGACCTGCGCGAGTTCTCGCGCCTGGTGAACGAGGCGGCGGCGGGCCGGACCAAGATACCGATTGAGGTGATGTTTAGGCTGCGCACGTCGGTGCCGCATCGCTTGTTGCGCTTGAGGCTTGAGGGGGGGTTGGGTTGCCATCCTGGAAGCGGGGTGCCGGGGGAGGGTGGGGGTGAGGTGCCGCGTGATGCGGTGTTTGTGCATGAGTTGCTGAGGCTGTCGATGATGGCGTTTGCGAAAATGCTGTTGATTAAGTTGCATAGGATTGGGAGGAGCATGGTTGTGTTGGTGCAGGGGTTGACGGATGTATTGACGACGTGGCAGGTTGACCTGGAACGAAGCCAAGCTGCCCATGGTAGTACGTCTACAGGGATGACGGTGGGAGGGTGGAAGTTGGTTCTGTGGAGCGCGTTCGTGGCGGGCGTGTCCATTTTTGAGGATTTTGGCGAGCCTTGGTTGAACGATCTGGTGACCAAGGCGTTGTCGGCGCTCGGGTTGCGGACGTGGGATGAGACGAGGGAGGTGCTGAAGGAGTTTATGTGGGTCGATCTTGTCTTTGGTTATCATGGGAAGCGTTTGTTTGATCGGTTTTGGGGGGTGACAGAGTTGTAATTGGTGGGGTGCGTGCCTGGGAGTTGAGGGGAAGTGTCACTTACGGACCTCGGAGGGTGCTCATCAACACACGCAACGATCAAAGTAGAGGGACACATGTACGGGTATGCATTAAACACCCAAATGAAGCTATGTACTCGAAACCACCTCGCTGACCAAGTGAGTACTGCCAAACAGGTGGCGTACTCTCAAGCCATTTGGTTACCTCTAATCCAGCTCTTTGCCAGCGTCCCACGGCACTCGACTCCCCATGCTCATGACTTACAGGCACTGAGAGTACCACTGGTTGGAAGCCTGGCAGGTCGAGCCGCTCTGGCAGCAAGTAGGCCCCTGCCACCCCGAACCACCGCACTGTCCCCACTTGGCAGCACACTAGGTATGTTAGCATTGGAATTCTTACGGTGACCATTAGGGAACATAGGCTAAGAGGTCCGAACTTACGTTCCCGGTGTTGCCGCCCCCGTTTCCGCCGGTAGGCGTCGGAGTGGACGGCGTCGTCTGCGAGCCGCCACCGCCAGAAGTGCTGAGCTTGCTCTTGACGAAAGTAAGAGCTTGCTGGCCGTACTTGGTGCCGTACTGCTGGTGGGAGTTGGCGTCGTTGCCAGTGCAGCAGTAGGGGTCGGTTGAGTCGCAGTAGCTCTTCATCTTGTCGGCCGAGTTGGAGCCGCAGACGTAGCCGCGCGGCCGGGGGGCGAACTGGAGGGGTGTTGTCAGCTTTCTGGAGGGACGTGGGGTGCCCAGTGGAGTTGGACTTACACCCTGAGCGGAGCAGGTGCCGACGTTGTAGGACAGGCCAGCGACATAACGCGGGTTGCCCATCATGATGACCGCCTTAATCTGGTTGAGGGCTGCCGCCGAGATGGGAGGGGCTGTAGAAGTAATACCGGAGCCGCTGTCGGGGCCACCGCAAACAGCGTTGTCCATAATTTGACCACCCTGCCCTTTGTCAATTTATGATCCGGTGTGATTTGGAAAAGGGGGACCACGCACCTGGGAATACCCGACAAGCACGATTTGAGCGTTGGGGCACCTCTGGTTGAAGCTGTTGACGGCCGACGCCACAGCGCTTGTGCCTTGCCTCGCCGAGTCACCGTATCTATTCAGGGGTTAGTGTTTTTAAGAATAGAGCTCGGTTTATGCTACTTCCGCTGTACCACCACACGAAGCCTGCCCTCCGCACGCTGGGTAGCTGATGGGCTCAGCAGTAGCCCCGGGGTAAGCACCGAGAATCAGGTTGACGACCTGGCCGGCAGTACCGTAGCCCGGGGACACGGTAGTCTCGCGAGCACCGAAGACGTGGATCTGCGGGCACTGACGCTTGGCGAGGACGGCAGCATCCACAGCGTCGGCATCGACGGGCGACCCGCTGACGAGCAGCGCGTGCGCCGCTAAGAGGAGGGAGGCAACCTTGGGAGTGGGCCACATGGTGAAGTTGACTGCGGTGTGGGAAAAGCTTGTTCGTTGTTTGGGCTGTGGTAGGGGGAGAGCTACCGTTTGAAAGGGGGAGCGTGGATTGAGTCTTTATACTTCGATTTAAGACGAGTCCCTTGACTGACTTCACTACTACATGGTGCGAGGTTGGCCATTATGATCCAGGGTAACTAAGCGCTAGTTTGCTGTTCCACATGCCCGGTTGCTACCTGCCATACAACAGTAGCCTCTTGCAGGACTCCGACTCCCGTCAGTTGCATTCCGCTCCCCCGCCGAGTCCTGCAAAGCGCTGGTTGCTACCCCCTTTTCCCTCGTGGCCTCCGTTAGGGTGGACTGGGGTGGGCCGTTGTCCGGGGTGCTGTTCCGAAGTGGGACTGGTGTTTGACATGAGGCTCCGAGAGCCTTCGAGAACGTTTCCTTGCCCAGGAAAACCCCTGTATGCAGACCATACCAGCCCTACTATTTTTGTGGATGCCCACACATGTGGTCGCAGCGATGGGTAATACCCGGGCTGCCGGGCACCCTGTGGCCAAAAAAAAGCCGGACTCGGAAAAAGAGCACGAAATCAGGAAAAAAGAAGGAAGTAAAAGGAATTGAGAAAAAGGGGAGGAAGGAGATATCAAGAAAGACAGAGGAGCAAAGAACAAGATGTTTTTTTTTCTTAAAAAAAAAGAAAGAAAGAAAAAGACAAAGAGGGAAAAAGAATCAAGGACAAGAATGAGTTAGAGAAACCCCAAAACAAGGTAAAGATAGTCGAGTAAATCGAGTTAGATAAAAAGATAAAAAGTAGAGCTTGTGTTTCCGAATGCCTTTTTTTCGTTCCTCCAGCCAAAGGTTTTGGCAGCACCCATACTTGGAGTCCGGCTTTTTTTAGCCAAAGAGTGCTGGGGATCAGGGATGTTTGTGGGAAAGAAAGTCATGTGCGTCCGCCAGGTACGTGGCTCGTTGCATCAGGGCCTGATGAGGATCGCATCTTCCTTCCGGGTTTGTGCAATCTCCTTGGCCCCAGTACCCGGTTCTTTGATGCGAGCTGAACGCTCGATGCGGGGAGAGCCGAAGGCGGTTCCCAGAAGCCCATCGGCGGCCAGGGAAGATCCGAGGCTGGGAGTTTAGCCTTTAGCCTGAATCGGTACCCAACTCTGAGCGCTGCTCGATGCAACGGCAAGTTCCACTAGCCGGTTGCCACGCACTGCTTCCGCCGCGTCGTATCAGGGCGCGGATGAGCCTCCGGTGTTCAAAACGGGCTGGCAGTACTTGCAAGAGCATGAGGGAGGTGTTCTAAGCGGTCAAGTCCTGGACTGGAGTGCCCAGCTTCCGAAATGCTGACGGTTGATGGACGGCCAGAGAACGACTTGTTCTGAAACGAGCAGATGTGAGCCATTTGGCGTGCCAAGGTTTTAAATGAGCCCTCACGGACGGTGAGATGTACATTGGAGTTTATACACGACCGAGCCACCCCAGGTTGATCCTATCCCATCACCTTTTTGAGTTGTCTATTTTTGCCGTTGCACAGTTTCACCATCTATTCATTCTCGTGCAAGCTTCATGTCTGCTTGCCGGATTGTGACTGCCAACTAGCTGGCTTCCAATCCTGGGGGAGAATCGTGCCAAAATCAGGATCCTATCGGAAATGGTTGGTTAGTATTCTGGTTGTACAATGTGTCTCACTCAAGCGCACTCCCCTTCCATTGTGATTGAATAGGCCTTGGCCTCCCCCATGCCGTAATTTTTGCCGAAAGGGCCCCAAGGGTTGGATAACGGCAGCATTGGGTTGTTCATCTGCCTCCCCCGCCACGCTCCAGCTTCGGGTAGCTGGGTGCCCATCCACTACACCGAGCATTACCCGGTAGTCAAAATCCGGGAAAAGGCTGTGTCACACTGTCATGTCGCTGATGGGATCAACTACGCGGGGGACGACAACGTTTCCTGACAGGGGCTTGGTAGACACAGCCCCGGCAGATGCAAGTATTTTGTTATAAACGACCTTGTTAAGTCCATCGGCATGATAATTCTCAACGATCATTCCCGCACGGCAGCCGCTTGGATTGGGTATTGGAAGAGTTGGAAAGGTTGAACGGCATACAAGGCTGCAGACGGACGATTGGGCCCCTTCGGTTGAGGACGTGAGGGTAGAGAAATATCCAATGTATCTCTTAGCGTCACCCTCTCTAGAGCGTTTAATATGAACGCCTTGTAGTCAGGAAGGGTGATCCGGGTACATGGAGGCGCCATGGCTCTTTCGTCTGAAATTGAGTTCCAGTCGGGTATCTCATCCGATTTGGATTTGTTTCCTCGCTACTCTGCGGGCTTCTTAATAGCGACACCCGGCCGCCTCAAACATCGCCTCGCTGGTTCCGTCCGCAAACACGCGACCGACGACAACCCTAGGTACCCGGCCTGGTTGATTTCGGTCTCCTGTCCTCCAGCAGTCGAATACCCACCACGACCACTCAACACAGCGTCTACCACGCTTACCATGCCTACCACGGACCACCCCTCCCCCACAAGCCATCAGTCTGCCCCGGTGCCTCCACTGGCCCACCCAACACTGCCTGCACCCCCAGGCCTGGCCTGCACCGCCTGAACAACCCGCAGCGCCTCCCACGCCACGCGCAACTTGTCCAGATACCGATGCTCCAGCATCAGCATGAAGCATGAAGCAACAACCAAGCATGTTTCAACTGCGCGGGCTTCCGCCCCGCCCCTTCAACCGCCTTACCCTCCCCCTTTCCCCTCCCCATATCCTCACCACATGCACATGCACCCTGTGTCCCCATACACACTCCACATCAACACATACCCCGACCCCAACAGCATCTACCCCAAGTACGCCTCCCGTAGCGCAACTCGGCCATGCGGATCACGAAGGCGTGCTGGCACGACGCGGGAAAAAAGGCGCTGGGACAGCGGGTTTCTTTTGCTTTACGCGTTGCGAGCGGGGCAGCGCTAGTCTAGTGGTGGGTGCTCGCCACCGCGGTGTTGCCTATGGATTTGTTGATGGCGAAGCTGCTTGCGGAGAGGTAGGCGGTTGCCCCGACGGGGTTCTTGCCGCCGATGTAAGAAAGTGTGTCGGGCTAGCGAAACTATTGAAGTCGTGGAGCTTGGTGTGGATGGCGTGGAAAAGGTCGATTCCGAGAACCCCAGATATTCAGAACTTCTTTTCCTCAATGCAGAGGACTATGTTTCGGCTCAGCTGATCTTGGATGGGCGCTCTGTCCCTCGACGTCCCGATCAAGCTGTCCATGTCGTGGAGTGATGTTGTGCCCCGTCCTTCCCAGTCCACTCCACCCTGGAACCACACCTCTGTTCAAGATAGGCCTTTCCATCCTCCAAATCTGCCCAGGGCCCTTCGTGCTGATGAAACGCGTCGCTGCTACCCAAGTTCCCAAACCGATGCTCCGTCGTCACTTGGACCTCCTTGGTGACGAAGATCTGGCCGAGAAGATGGGAGGCTGAGGTCATCATAGGGCCCCAGAAAACCGGAATACTAGCACAGATACAGGCAGACGCCGTTTCGAGCCCCGCCATGACAATAGTGATAGGCCCGTACCAGGTCGGGTCGAATGTCGGATATGTCCCCGCCCTATGCTCGATCGTGGTAACAAATCGCCAGATAGAGAAGATGTTGACCCTGATGGTTGTCAGCCGGTGTCGCACCCAACAAACCATCCATACTTACACAGTCCCCATAGCGATAATGCCAACGAGCCCTAGCCTCGTCCTGCCACGAGCGCCCTGTTCGAAGTATATAGGGATTGGTACGGCCATGACAACCAAGTCTAGCAACATGTTGACGGCAGCATGGCTCTCATACGTGGCTGTAAAAAGACCGACGTGCTGAGAACCGTACCCGTAGCATCTGAGTTCGGAGATGTCTTGCTCGTATATCACGGTCCAGTAGTCCGAAACCGGGACACACGGAACCCAAGCGAGGATCGAATAGGCAATCCCCCAAAGGGCAACGAAAAGTATGAGAACACGGCAGGGGGTGTGTAATCGTGATCCCCGTTGGTAAAGACGCAAATACTGAAGCAGCAGCGAGACTTTTATGAGAGCCGTTGACATTGCGTAGGATCCGTTGAAGACGTAAAAGCTCTGTCAGAAGATTAGCATCTGAGGTTTCAACTCGAAGTCCTCGGTAGTATTCTCCAGGGGTACATGCATGCATGAAGGCAGAAGATTGGTCCCCGTCCAGAAGTAATAGGTGTTGTCCCAAGCCTTTGTCCGTGGCTACACGGTTGGCTCCGATTAGCGATAGTAGTTCCACATATTCGCCCAAATAAACGGACGGGATCGCTTACAGATACATATGCTCCCTAGACCAATGGACATAACCAACTGCAGCTGTGTTAGTTCTTCACCTTTAGGTTGACTTCGCCAAGAGTGTATGTACCAAGGATAAGACTACGAAGACATCATCCCATCCAGGGGCGTGAATTATGACGAGTCTCACGAAGATTCTGACCACAACACAAATCCAAGATAGCACCTGCGAGAACCCATTAGCGGAGCAATACTGGAGAGAGTCTGGGTTGGATCCCATACTGCAAATGCAATGCACAAACCCAAGATCGTCTCCCGTTTGTTGACCTGCGGGACTGCCTCGCCAAAGTTATCGACAGCGCCAATAAGACCCATCAGGGTATCATCTCCGGAGGGGTACCCCATTGCAAACACGGAGCTGAATAACCCCGGAGTCCTCCCTTATTCGCAAACGCAGCGGGCAATTTTTGTCGGCAACGTGGTTGTTTAGCCACGGACCGATGTCTAGATTTTATGGTGGGCGGTCCATAAACCGGCGAGTGCTCAAGATAGCCGGAGAATTTCAGAGAGCAACCATTTGAAAGAGATTCACGGAAATAGGCCTGTAGCGACCATGCGAATTTAATCATCCACTAGAACCCACAAATCACCAAGAACAAATTGATCAAGATAGTTGCCTCGTTTTACGACGGGGATAATTAACTACGATTTAATTGCTTTGACTACAAGTCTTTAACTACAATGTGTGCGGCGTCGAGACCCTGATGCTGCGTGGTGTCCAGTCATCACACTTGTCTGTGCCCCAAGTTGTTGCCATATCCAGTCGGCGGATCCCAGTTTCACGACGTGCCCAAGCCGGAACACCTTGCAAAACATGGCCAAGGGACTCTGTGCTACACGCATGCAGGTTTCAGGCAGCCATCTTTTATCTCTTGCAGGTTTGGTGCTTCTCACCAACCACGGCTCAAGCGGCTCAGGGGCTCAATTTGGTTAGTCGTGCTCGGCGTGCCGCGATCCGACATGGGGCCACAAGGTGAGGGTTGTTAATCCGCTGGCGGCGCAGCACGTCTCGTCACGCATGTAGTATCGAAAAGATGCGGGATGGATATGTTGGGGCGAAATCCGAAAACCATCGGTCTAAAACTTACCTAACTACCTATTTAAGGAGGTCAAGCAGTAAGAAGTCGAGGAAAGGAGAGTTGGCGCATGGAGAAAACACATCCTAACTGGCCCGCGCAAACAAAAGTGCCAACAACTTCCGGGCCGGTGGTCAAGCCGCGACGCGGAACTAACCAGGTTCTTAGCTTCTTGACTTCCGGTCTGCAATGTAGCCCGTGTATCTTCGGACTCGCGTAGTCGGAGCAAGATGGGTACCGTATAAAGCAATAGTTTGGGCCACGTTGATGAGATTTCTCTAGGTACTTTCTAGACCACGTTCTACCGTTGAGACTTCAGAGTCACTTTGTCCGTTCAACAACCACGGCACTGCATTTGATGACCCCCGGAGTCATGACCACTAACAAACGAGTCTGGCTGATCACGGGAACCTCATCTAGCCTGGGTCATGAAATTGCCCGTGCAGCTCTCGCCCTCGGTGATGTTGTTGTAGCCACGGCACGCGACCCGCGCAAGCTGGCCGACCTCTCAGCGGCGGGCGCCATTACCGAACAGCTCGACGTGACGGCCCCCGACACCACGCTCTCCACCACCATCACCCGCATCGTGCAGCGTACCGGGACCATTGACGTTCTGGTCAACAACGCGGGGTACATCCTCGCCGGCGCCGTCGAAGAGGCCAGCCGCGACGAAGCCCAGGACCAATTCGCCACCAACGTCTTCGGCCAGCTCAACGTCGCCCGCGCCGTACTTCCCCACATGCGCCGCCAGCGGTCCGGCGTCATCGCCAATCTGGGCAGCATGACCGGCTGGCAGGGCGGTCCCGCCGTGGGGCTGTACTGCGCCAGCAAGGCCTGCGCGGGGATCCTGTCCGAGGCCCTGCGCGCCGAGGTCGCCCACCTCAGCATCACCGTCACCGCCGTCGAGCCGGGCGCCTTCCGGACCGACTTCCTCGCGCAGGGCCACAAGGTGCGCGCCGCAAAGCACATTAGCGAGCTGGACGAGGGCACTTCCGGCACACACGACGTCTTGCCGGCTTATAACCAACGGCAACCCGGCGACCCGGTCAAGGCGGCCAGGTTGATCGTGGAGGGCTGACGGGACGGGCCGCTGTGAGGGCCGGGAGCTGCCCGCCCGGTGGGTGATTGGTAGTGATGCGCACCAGTTTGTGACGGCCGCTTTGGATCAACAGAGGAAGGTTATGGATCAGTGGAAGGACCTGACGACCACAACTGACTGCGAGGTATAAATGCGTTGGTGATGTGGCTTGATGCAAATGATGCAAGACCCTGGCCGATCCAACTTATGGACCGTGATGCTGGGCTTGGATGTTTTCAGTGATATCAAAAGTCACTGGGCGTGACTCATGCATCCCAGCCTACCTGTCTTGATCAAGATCACTTTCATTTCTTGCCACCGGAGAAGCCCCATGTGTGAATGCAACCCCCCTTTTACCTGTAGAAGTTTTCGACCCCTGATGCATTTTTCAGGTTAGGTGCCCGCGCGGTAATAGCTTCTTTGGAAGTACCTGCCTGCTGAGTTACCTCGTTCTTGTTTCCTGGGAATATACCTAGATACGGAGGTAAAATGACTTGGATGGTAGCATGATGCCGGCCGGGCTTTTGGACCAAGGATGGACTCGAGTCCTTGTTGTGAAAGATTGTTATTTCCCATTTGCGGCTTGCTGACGGGCCTGTATCTTTGTATCGGTTCGGTTTCCGTCTTTGGGTTCGGTCCCCGTTTTCCAAGAGGAGCTCTGACAGGAGCTTTGCAAGGGACCGCCTTGGCTCAAGTCTGGCGGATAGGATAGGATGGATCCAACTTTGCCGGGGAACGACCAAATTGGGAGCCAATGTGACGTTAAGCTGGAAATCGGCAGCCCCGAATCCACTTGATTGTCTCATCCTTCTGGTCATGGCATTTGCTCCTTGCCTAAAAATGGACCGCTCGTATTCAATCGGCGCCCCCACACAAAACTGTCCTGGACCTTCTAGTCCCAAAGTTCGCTTTTTTGCATGTGCACAGGAGATGTTGTCGCCATGTCAAAATTGTTCTTCCAACCCGCCACCGCAGCGGTATTGCGACATAGGTTGAACAAGCGCGTCGAACGAAATGCGCTCATTGCCGCCGTTATTTCACTCTTTTTGTTCGCCTACTGGTACTTGGGCACCGAGGAACCGCCAATCCTGCCCTTCTACCCCTTCGAGACGACGAGCGCATTCTTCCCGATAGCCCACCATGACGCCCAGAACAAAACCACCGAACAGCTTTGCGCTTCCTTCCCGAGCCACATGTTGCAGCGCATCCAGCCCGTCTTGAAAATGGGGCATGGCGAGAACCGGAACATGGTCGATGCGCAGCTGCAAAGTGTATCTGCGTGCTTCGCCCCGGACGAGCTGCTCGTCTTTTCCGACCTGGACGAGGTCATCCACGGCCGCCATGCCGTCGACATCCTCGCAAACCTGCCCCGCGCATATCGCGATAAAGACGCCGAAGGCAAACCGAATCCAGACTTCGTGAACTACGAAACCATGTATGCGCTGGCCCAGGAGGGGAAGCTGACGGTCGAAAACGATCCGGCGAGGGGCAAGAACGGCTGGCGCCTTGATAAATACAAGTTCCTCGCCGGCGCTGAGCGCGCGTGGCAGCTGCGGCCTGGCCGCGACTTTTACGTCTTCTACGAGACTGATACCTACATCTCATGGGACAACATGTTCCGCTTCCTCTCGATACTCGACCCGCAGACTCCGTTATACATGGGGAGCCCGTCCCCCGGACGGCATGACGACGACAAGGACGCAGACACGTGGTTCGCTAACGGCGGGCCTGGTTATGTTTTGTCCCGGGGAGCCATGGAGAAACTGTTGGGGCGCCGGACATCACCCAAGACCGGCCACTTTACGGATCCGCCAATCTCGCTCAAGTTTGCGGACGTGGTGCGGAGTGATCCTTGCGGTGACTCTGTGTTGGGTTGGGCGCTGTGGACCGCCGGCGTTCCACTGAGCGGCTTTTTCCCCCTCTTTAACACATATCCGGCACACTCGCTCCCCTTCACGGAACGCCTGTGGTGCCAGCCATTCCTGACCATGCACAAACTCAAACCCGAGGACTTGGTCCGTCTCTGGCGGTGGGAACACGGCCATCGAAAGCTGGGAAGTCCGCTCTTGTACTCGGACTTGTACGACTTCTTCCCTGTAGCGACACCGGAAGTTCGGAACAACTGGGACAACACGAACTGGGACCGCCTAGCGCCCGGCCGAGACACTCATGCGGACACGTTCGAGGCTTGTAAAGGGGCTTGCCACGCCAGCCCTTCTTGCCTTCAATACCATTGGCAGGGCGAGGAAACGAAAAAGTGCGTGTTGCAGCGATTTATCAACTATGGAGTCGCCAAAGACCCAGAGACTATCAAGAGGAAGGTGCCAATCCCTGGCACCAAGGTGAAGAAGGGGAAAAATGGCAAGAAAGAGCAGGAGTTCCGGGTCATCGAGGAGAAGCTCACGTACACTAGCGGTTGGATCAGGGCGAGGATCGACGATTGGGTTAAATCGCATGTGTGTTCTGCGCCGGAATGGGTTTATCCCAGCATCGAACGTCACTTTTAAGAGTCAATACTGGCATAATGAAATGTTAATAAGAAATGAGAAAATGAATTGTTCCTCCCATTGAACTCCGCCGCCCCCCACTCTGCCGGTACCTGTAGGCTACCCCCGCAATGAAAACAAACCGCTGTGTTCCTTCACGTCATGCCCAAGCCCTTGGATGTTGGTTGTTGGTGCCGTTGTGCAACGGCGAGCCCACTAATTAGATGATACATTGAAAGCGTCTAATTACACACGTCTAGGGGTATCTATGCAAACAGAAAATAAATCGTCAACAAACGTTGTTATCGTATCATCACCCTCTTTGACGACCTCGACTCTCGAGAGGCCCATCCCGAAGGCAGTCGGGACCTCTTTCAGTTCTATCGCCTGGTCGTAGTTGGCTGAGTTCTGGTCGGGCCCGTTGGCCATATTCTGCAACGCCCGTTGGCTCCTCTGACGCGTCAACCCAGGCGCGCCGCCGTTGCCTGAGTCCCGGTGGTGTGCCGCTGGCGGTAGTTCCATCACGTCGGGGGGCAATTCGGTCGCCTCTTCCACATCAACTGTGACCTCTTGTGAGATCATGATGCCGCCGAATGACATTTTGGCGGGTTGCTGCTTCCGAACTGGTTTGATCGATTCTGAGATCTCGCTTGGAGTCTTGCGGTCCGAGGCCAGTTCCGAGTCCCCGCCGTTCCCGGCGTAGAGTAGTGACGAGACGCTCTCATCGTATGGCGTCAGCGCCACATGCTCTCTGCTTGTCGAGACGGATTTCACGGCGTCTGGGCGCCGCGGCCGCAGTTGGTTCGGTGCGCTGGTTTGTCCCGGCAGGCCAGATCTCGAGAATAAGACGTAGCCAGGCACAGTAATAAACCTCCGCCAACGGCTCGGCTCTCGCAACTTGCTGTCGGGGGACACCGAGTCCAAGATGGGCGAGATTTTGCGATGTACTGACCGTGCAAAAGCGGCGTTATGTGGCGAGTTTTTGTAGACGAGCTGCTGCGTCTTGAAAAAGGGCAGTGGGATGAATTCGTAGGCGGGCGTGTCGACGCGCACATGGATTGGTATCATGTGCGTGAAAGCCACGAAAGCACATGTCGCCGGGCGCGCATCGCTGGCCGGTGGCGTGCAAGGGACCTGCGTGACCTTGCACACCAGCTTGGCGTTGTCAAATACGGGATCCTGAACAGAGGTCCGAAGATTGCGGATCGCGTCTAGAAGAAGACTGGCAAAATGAGCGTCTCGTGGCGGGAGCTCGCTCGCACGTTCAAGCCGACGGTGGAGGGCGCCAAGAGACATGCCCTCCAGCCGGCGAAGAAACTCGAGATGGACCGGTTCAACTCGGTCTAGGGGGAGCTCCATGCTGGGGAGCAAGTTCCGGGCCTGTTTCCTGACGAGGATATCAAACCCCATCTGATGCACCTGGGTTCGGACAGCGAACAGGCCGACATGGACACCGGGCTCCAACAAATTGCCGCGTGCGTATCGTTCCATCCCTTTGAGCTTTTCCTCCAGCCGATTGCTCCTGATCTGCATCTTGGAACGGATAATATGCGAAACCTGACGTGGCTCGGCAAAGCAGTAGCCCGAGGCGGCCAGGTGGTCAACGTGACTGCTGTCAACTCTGCGTACCAAAAACATGAGATGCCCGTGACCGTTCCGGTTCGTTGGCTTCACCCCCTTTTCAGCCATGTCGTCCAGGCCATGCTTGATGCTTGGCGCCGTGGTTTGCGACCGAGTTGATGTTGAAGCTTGGCTGATAGAGCCCGCCGCTAAATGTCCGCCCGTCGCCACGATCTCGTCCCAAAGAATGCCGGCATTGACAAGGTCCTCGTTCATTTGGCGGGCCAGGGCCGAGGCAGCGACGCAAAACAGCTCGCAAAATATGGTGTCATAATTCTCAATGATGTGACCCTCCTTGTCCACGAGCTCGATGCCGGTCCTGACGTTACGACCGCTGTGCGGGAGCCCGGCCAAATGGTTGTGTATCTTGTCAAGGAGGGTGGATATACTAGCCCAACTTCTCGATGCCTGGAAAAGCCAGTGGAATAACGGGTGCGCGGTGGAAAAGGTTTCGTTTTGCGTCTAAGCAAACTCCCTGTCAGCTCTCGGTTTCTGAAACGGCATGGGCAGGGCCATGCCATGAAACAACGTACTTTTTGCAAGAACGTGCTAGTGACGACTTCGCTTGGCAAGAAACCATCGGGGGTCACCAAAATCCTTCCATGCTCGTCGAAGACGGCGGCCGCGAGAGTGATCCTCTGCGCCCTATTCGCGTATCCCTTGCGCACCCGAGCCGAGTAGATGGCGAGGCCAGCCATAATCAGGCAAGCGGCGAAAGACTACACCCTTGATTAGGATCCGGCTGCGGAGGGGAATAGGGAATAAGGAGAATCTTCTCACGAGACAGGCTGTCACGATGACAGTTGTGTTGCGGGAGCTATTATCGCTGTTCGAGTTGACGTGGATTAGGGTGTACCTTGTGCCCATCACGGCACACCAATGCATGCCCGAAACGGCGCCGGCCAACACAACAGCGCACCCGGCGCGTTTCCACCACGAGTTGGTCCAAGAGCTCCGGAACACAAAGAAGAGGGAGAGGGCGACGGTACTGGCAACGGCGGCGATGACGATAGAGCCGCCAACGAAAGCAGCAATATAATCGCATCGGTAGTTGTTGATGGAAGCGTTACCGAGATAATGCATGCCGCAGATGGCGCCCCCGGAGAGTGTGCCCGCGGTGGTGACACGCCACCAACTAATCTTGTTGCTGCTGTTACTCGTGCCGGTCACGACGAAGAAGGCCACCAACAGCACGAAGATCGGGACAAAGAAGGAGGCGACCGTAACTCCGACCGAGTAGGCGATCTGAAGGGCGGGTTCGCCGTTTAGGAGAGTCGTCGCGCGGTTGCCGATGTAATGCTGGAACGCCAAAGAACAGGTCAATCAATGGTTGAGCTCGTAGTCGTTCGGAGTTCCTACCATGCTCCAAATAGCCACGCCTCCCATCGTTATCGCCGCACCAAAAAAGAGGAGACTAAGATGGTATGAGTCACTGCCTGTTTGCTGTTCAAGTCCGACGAGATACTCACTTGTTGTAGTAACCCCTCCTTGAAGTACGGCGATGGATGAGCTCGAGTGTTGACGCTGCGCCGACGAGGCTGATCACATAACTCAACACCAAGAGTGATGGGTCGAACGTGACTGGTATGACATGGCCCAAGTGTCGGGCCAAATCTTCTGTGTTGGTCGACTCCATGTTCGTTCGAGATACTCTGCGAGTGTAGAAATGAGGTTCTACACGGGCATTGGGTGCGTGTAACTGGGCCTCGTCAACTCGTTGGAACAACGAGTAGCGACGGCGTTGTATTGGTTCTCATCAATGACGAGGCAATCGGGGAAGAGATGGAACAGCCGAGACAGCCCCCCCGCGATGAGAAAGGGCAGTGGTGTGGGTGTCGGGGGACAGGCCCGATATCAAGCGTCTGGCTGTGAGCATGACATGCATGGCTCGAGTACCCAGAGACAAGCATAGCTGTGTGATTGGTGGGCCAGGCCGACGAGAAGGGGGATCATAACCGAACCATGTTGAGCCGTGGTTCCAGAAGCTGGGGGGGGGGATGGTGCAGCTCGGCATGTCCCTGTCTTCGTCGGCAACAAGCGCAGGTCCCATGCAACGCACAGATGGTCGATGCTGCTCGAGAGGCTCGTCATGCATCAATTCGCTGGCAGTGACTGGCCGAGTCCCGTCGTATGGGTCTCCACCTACCCACAGCAGGATTTAGTTGACACTAAACTAGTGTAGTCCAAAGTATCCAACGACGGAGGCCCGAGCTGGTGTTTGGTGTTGCGGGTGGGATCAGATCAGGCATTGTGATAAGAAAAGGGTCCGAGTTCCTGACCCCCTAACTATACACCTCACCACCTAAGGCGTGCGTGCATTTCTCGCATTTTCTCGCAGATTTCCAATTTGCAATGTTGCATTCGAGGGGTGCAATGCAGGGGAACTTGAGTAACACAAACGCGGCCGCCTCCTTGGAGGGTTACTTTGGTCGAACCAACAACTGCACCCTGCAGACCCGAGTGGGAGAATGGTGTGAGCACGGCCAGCATGGCCAGGTAGCGAGCCAAAACTGTCATGGTCATCAATTGAGCCTGTCCGTGCCGCATTTGCGCGCCTGTGCTGGTCCGACCTTCTCCAGACCCGATTGGCCGAATGAAATGGCAGGGCGGGCCAGATGCCCAGATCCAAAAGAGCCCACTTCTCCTTGCTGCCTTGGAGACACGAGCCCACAAACCCAAAAGCCCACAGACCTTCCTTCCCGCTGGGAAATTCCTGCCTTCCTTCTCTTCGGCCAATGGCATGGGAGACGGGGAGAACCTTGCGCCTTTTCTCTTTCCCTCTTTTCCCATTTTCCCATTTTGACGACCCCTTTCAACAAAATCGTTCAATGGTTGCTCCCCGGAACGCCAGGCTGCAACCCTGGTGAGATGCAACCCATGTACATGCCTCACAGATCGAAAATCTTCCCGCCGATCAACGATGCCAAGTCGCTTCTCCATCAATGGAACCCAGCCCAGCTTCACTCTGCATGGAAAACGCAAAACCACAGGAATGGGACCCCGGACCAAGATAGGTCTCTTTGTTCCATCTTCCTCGACTTCCGAATTTTTAGCCTGGAGTCCCCGAACATCCAGACATGGAGCCAGTAGCCCTATGGAAGGTTTTACCTTGCAGCGGTACGAATAGTAGATCAACAAGTGCTCAGCACATACCGTTTCCACCCACGTGGTTTCCGTTGTGATCGCCCCTCCCCATCAACCCTTACAAGTCTCAGGGCTCAGTCTGAACCGAAACTTCGGCTGCCCTGACGCAGTACCTAAGAGCTTTGTCGTTCCCGATAGCGGAAAGAGCGCGACGTCTCACTCAAAAACCAATCAAGAATGCGTAATCGAGTCGCCGTGTCGGCGAACATTCGGTATCGTTCCCTGCCCCCGAGTTCAGCTTGGCTCGTCATCGGACATGCACGGGCAGCTTCCATCCCGAGGTATGTGCCTCGGAAGTGGGCGGAGATGATGCTCGTTACCAGACATGTATCCACATTTTGCCGTCCGTGCGATGAGAAACCGAGACAAAACTCGACAACACAAGGGAAAACTCAATAGCATACCGGGACAACACGGCGTTTTTTGTTAATTGTTCGGGCGAACCCGGTATATAGATACAACGCCGCGGGCTTGGAACTTCATCTTAGGTTCTCAAACAATAACAAACGCTCCATCTGCGTGAAAGAGAGTAGTGTACTTCGTGGGATCATGGAATCCTCGTTTGCAAGCTTTCCGGCGTGCCATGGAAAGTGAGAGGGTGGGTTCCAGGCCCGGCTCACCCGGCTCGGTGCAAAGTCCGCAATCTCCAGCAGGAGGTTGCAGCATTGGTGGGGAGCTGAAAGACGAAGGCTGGCAGGGCAAACCTGGCGAATCGAGATCGGATCGTGGCCAGCATGTGGTTCCCCCACTGTCTCCCGAATCCGACGCAAAAATCAGATGCCTGTTTGCGCTAATCTTGACTGAGGAAAGTCGCTCTTGACGAATCTCCACTCTGACCAACAAGGCTAGACGCCAGAACGAGTAGTTAAACCAAGCAAAGGGCTGAGCCGAGAAAATATGACATATGAAAACAAAATCCATTAACTACTGTAACTAATCGAAATTGAGTTAGAAGTCTATCGATACAGCGCAACAACACTGTGATCCAATGTCGACATTGAAACTGATGTCAAACCCCTTACCGCTCCCTCCCTCTCAAGGTGCTTAAACTCCATGTATGGATTGAGGTTTCCTATCGATTTCACGCCTCGCTTCTTGGTATCACGATTCATTTGGCATGTCACTATTATGGCATCAAGCCGTCGAGTCGTAAGGCTTATTATAGCAATGGGATATGTGTAATAAAGCCGCGGTCTCCGAATCTCTATTGGGTAGCGATGATGTAATGTTTCGATACTACTCGGTACCAATGATTATTCGGAACTCGATTCATCTTGAACAGTGAACTTGATGTATTAACCCTTGGGAGCGCTCAACGTCGCGGCCTCTGTCTTATATTCAAACCTATCTAAGGTTTGGATGCAGACATCATCCGGGGCGACTCCAGGCCGAGCTTAGCAGCCAGCGACCACATTGCGGGGGCGCAGTGGCTCAGCAACACGCCAAACCTCCAATGGTCGGTTCTTGCTCGCCCCACGTTGTATAATTAGAAGGACCTGGCAATGGCCGTTCGGGGAGACACCTCGTCGTCGAGTCCCCCAAGAAAGCGATGGCATTCTTCTTCCTTTCGCATCTGTCTCGATTCGTTTCGATTTCCGTGAACTACGCAAGCTCGACAGACACTGTCACGTTGCAGTGGTGATCAAGCTCGAGGCACTCTCGACCAACTGATCAAGATGTTATCCCACTCATTTCTTTACACCCCGTTGCTCGGAATTGCAGCTCTTCTCACGCTATTATTTGTCTGGTTGAAGCGCGACGAACTCGGCCTCTGGGTCGAAGTTGAGGAAAAGTTACCCGAGACCCGATACTTCGTGCTACCTGACCAGCGACAGATGGCATACGGCATCTACGGCGCACCCAATGCTGCTTCCACCGTCTTCTACTTCCACGGGTGCCCGTCCTCCCACCACGAAGCTTTTCTTCTCTCCGAGGCCGGGCGGCGTTACGGCGTCCGCATCGTTGCTCCATCGCGCCCAGGCAGCGGCGGTTCAACATTCCGCGACAACGGCGCTATTCTCGACTACCCGGACGATGTCCTTGCGCTGGCCGACTACCTCAATATCACCAAGTTTGGCATAGTCGCCGTGTCTGGCGGCGCCCCTTATGCCTTCGCCTGCCGGCAGCGGATCTCACGGCCACGACTCACGGGAATGGGGATCGTAGCGGGAATTTACCCCGTCACCAGCCTCGGCACCGCGGGCATGAAGCTCCCTTCCCGGATAATGCTCCGGGTTGCTACGTGGTTACCCGGTGTGGTGGCCTGGCTCATCGACAGGCAACTCGGCACCGTGGCACGGGACAAGGATGAGGGGAAAATGGAGGCGCTTTTGGTGGCGGACATGCAGCAGGATTCGACACCGCAGAGTGACAAACTGGCCTGGGAGGCCGCTCGCCCCGCAATCCGAAAGGCTGTCGTTATGGGCGTTCGGGAAGGCGTCAGGTACGGTGGACAAGGGCCGGCGTGGGAGATGAAGTCCTTGGGGAGTCACTGGGGGTTTTGAGCTCGCTGACGTTCAGCCAAAGGGGGACAATGAACTCGTCATGTGGCACGGGAACTTAGACGCCAATGTGCCCATAACCATGGCAGAGAAGGCCACCGCACAGCTCGGGCCTCATGCGGAACTTAGACGCATCAGTGGGCAAGGTCATGGCACTCTTACTTTCCACATGGCCGATGATATCGTGAAAACGTTGCGGGCCATGTTGGACAAGAATTGAAATGTCTTTCACCATGCGTTAAATGTCTCCCGGAGCAAGTGGTGAGGCGGCTCACCTCGGCTTTTATAGGTAGTCTAGCCTGGGGTAAAACCTTGGTCGAAGGTTACCACTTGCTGTGTATTTTTGTTTCGAAGACGATACCAACACATATAGCATGGCGGAGTTTCGTGTGAAGCTACTATCTATTACTGTCTAGTAGGGGTGGAACATCGAGCCGGTCTAAAGAGACGACTCAATATCCTGGATTTCCACCAAGAACATGCCCTTCGCCTTCTCCCATGCGCCCTCTGGCAGTTTTCCCCGAATCGGGAGCCGGCCGCCCTCAAGATTGCCAAACCCTGCCACGCGGAAAGTAGCTTCCTTGATACCCAGCACGCCATATCGCATGACGAATTCCTCGCCCTGGCTAACAGCAAACTGTAACCGGTGGATCTCGGCCTGTGTTTGGGGAGACGAGTCTCCCTTCAGCATCAGTTTCATGAGCTGGACCACCGTCTTGGGGTAGAAAGCGGCCATCCCGTCAATGACACCTGCGGCGCCAAACGCCACGATGGGACCGAGCTGGTTGCCGAAACCGCTGTACACGCGGAACTGATCGTGGTTGATCGCCGGATCGAGGGACACCTGAACGTGATGTGAGACATTACCATGCGACCTGTTCCAATGTCAGCCATACAACACCACACCTTGAGCTCCTAAACCCCAAGAGCAACCCACATCTTGCACCCGACAATGTTGGGGTGGTTCGCCAGGGCCCTGTACGTCTCGGGCAGAACCTGCACGCCGTTGGTAACGCCGGGGTAGTTATACACGAGGATAGGGATGGGGCTGCGGTCGGCGATCAGGGTGTACCACTCGACGAGGCCCTCCTGTGGCACCGAGGGCCCGAAATACCCAGGCGTCAGTACCAGGCCCCATTGCGCGCCGGCCTTGGCGTAGTCGTCCAGCCATTGCAGCGTGTCCTCCAGCTCGCCGTTTGTCAACACCCCGGCCATGAGGGGGTAGCCGGGGAAGCCGGCCTTGTCGAGACCCCGGCGAACGGACGAGACGAGGTCGCTGCGCTCGGAGCGCGAGAGGTGCACGGCCTCGCCGGTCGAGCCGAGGATGGTGATGCCTGTGATGCCTGCCTTGGCCAGGAAGATGCTATGGTTGATTTGGGTCTCGGTGTCGACGGGGGCCTGGGGGATCTTGAGGGATGCTCCCGCCGAGGCGGGGAGGAAGAAGGTGGGTGAGGGGACGAAGACGCCCTTGGGCGGGATGAGGGGTGTCGATGACATGTTGGAAGTGATGTGACTGGTGTATAAAAGGGAGACGTGGCACAGTTCAGTAACAGTTAGGAATTCGATGAAATGCGGAGATGACAATATCGTTGAGAGATGGAAACCAAAGAGGGCAAAAGTTCTCAAGCAAGGTCCATATGATGACGGAATGCGGATGATCTGGGGCTAGTTAGGGGTGCTGGGAAATCGAAGATGCAAAAGGGTACACATTATGCAACGTTCCCGGCGAGAGAGTCCATCAATTGGGTGCGGATACTGACTGCGGGGTGCGCTTTCGGGTTTATGGCCCCGAGAGGGGCAGTTCGCTGCAGTCACCACCGAGGTCACGGATCCACTTGGGACCCGCTGTGGAAGGCAACAATCAATACCAGGAAGGAACCTAAGGGGGACAGTTTGAATTGCAGCCGGGCTGGCCCAGACAGATACAGATATTGTGTTGGCTGCCTGTTGTTGGACTTCAGGACCAGGCGCCGGAAGCAGCAACCCCTGAATGGAAGGGACTGAATGTGCATTGGTTTAACACCTCAACATTTGATCAATCCAATTTGGTCGGTATGAACTATGAGGGCATTATATGGGGTGTTTCACGATCAATTATCAGTAGATGACTACTTGGTGTCATCCAACACTTTGTTGAGTTGATGTCAGTCTTTTGCTCGATGTGTTGGTTAGGTGCCGAGTTTAAGTTTTTGCCAAGACTCAGGGGTCTTCATCAGCTTCCGGCTGGGTGTGAGGCGAGGAGAGAGTTGTGAGTCAATGAACACTTCCCCACCCCTTCTCCGCCCAACCGTGTGAATTAGTTCACGGGCGAATTTTGATTCTTGTAAGCGTACCACTTTGCACACGTTCGAGTCCCTCAAAGCTTGGAACGCCCCCAAGGCCCCAGACAAAGGCCCTTTTTACTCGCCACCGACGACGACTTCATTTTAATCCCAAGTCTGTTTCCTCCTCTCTCTCAACACCACCATGGCGACCGCCCTTTTTGTAATCGACATCCAAAATGACCTGGCGACTGACCCGGCGACCCAAATACCTCACGCTGAGCGAGTCAAGGTGGCTGGGCACCAGATTCTCTCTACGGCCCGTACCGTGCTTGGAGCCCAGAATGAAGGAACTCTCAAGCCGGGGATGATTGTCTTCGTACAGCACGAAGAGGAACCGGAGAGTGGCCCTCTAGTACGAGGCACCGAGCCGTGGAAACTGGTTTTTGAGCCGCGTGCAGATGTGCAAGAGGAATGGCTGGTCTCCAAATGGACACGTAGGTTCTCAGAGCATGAGAAGGACAATCTCCTATTTTCGAGCCCATGACTCACTACCAGGCCCAGGTGACACGTTCGAATCCAACCCTGATCTCGGTTCTAAACTCAGGGCGGCTGGGGTGCAGCATATCATCGCCTTTGGGATCCAGAGCGAGTGCTGCGTGGAGTCGACCTGCAGTGGTGCGCTCGCCGCAGGATTCGAGGTCACTCTGCTCTCAGGGGCGCACTCCACGTACAACTCTGAAGACAAGACGGCCGAGAAGATTGAAAGGGGCGTGGAAGAGCGGCTCCTGGGAAAGGGGGCTAAGATTGTACCATGGGAAGAAGTTGTTGGTCTGTGGAAGTAACAGTTATGGAGACACACAGTGCATCCGCTTGACTGCCTAGGTATGTACCTAAGGACAGATCCGAACATGCCGCGACACTTTGTCTGTGACCAGGACGCTGGTTAACAAAGAAACATCCCCTATCAAACAATCAAAAGCTCATTGCAAAAACGTGGGCGGCAACGGCGGTCCCCAGATATGCAAACTATCTGGCCCCGCGGGCGATCTGGTAACCGGCGTGGTCTCATCAACCAAGTCTCCATCCACTAATGTTGGGTGTCAGTAGTTTTGTTCTTACTTGATAAAAGCTTGGGTCAACGCACCATAATGCTCCATGACGAAACCCGAGCGGTCCCACCTAAATCGGCCGAGTTAGAAACCGTTTGACATGGGAAAGGGAGGGGGTGGATCCTACCAGTAGTCGAAGATTTGCGAGCCAAGCACGTGCCTCCCGACGCCCCAGACAAGATCGTAGTCCTTCTCACGCAGCCACTGGTGCCCCAGCGACTGGATGTCGAAGTCGTGGACCTCGAAGCTGGAGTGATGGACATGGTACTTGGGTCCTGCAGCGTGTTAGTCAATGTGTGAGCAAACGAGCTTCCAAGCTTATCCGCATCCAAGGCCACTTACCCTCAAAGAAGAAAAAGGTGTGGTGGTCTACCTGCTCCATCCCCCTGTCCAGATGGAAGAATGCCGTGATGTCTTTGCCTGTGGAGTCCGTGATGATGTCTGTCGGCTTTAAGTTGAAGCGAGTCGTGTAAAACTCGAACGCCTTGACGAAGTCGGTGACGCAGCATCCGAAGTGACCCAACTTGTGCACGGGGGCGGGGCCCTGCTTGAAGCGCTGCGTCTTGTTGACGGCGCGGTGCTTGGTCTCGGGGTAGTTGTAGTTGAGCTCCGGGAGGTGGGCCGTCTTCTCCACCAGGGTGTGTCCGTAGATCAGGTGGAACGGAAAGCTGTCGACAGGGTCGCGGAATGTCACCCGCTTGCCGCCGCCGGGCGCGTCCGAGTCTTCGATGGCCGTGGCCTGGGGCAGCGTGTTGGAAGCCAGTTCCAAATCCGCCATGGACTCGACTAGGAAGGCCGCGCCGCCGAACTCGTTTGCTTCACCTTTCTTGGCGCAGTAGACGAACGGCTCGGTCCCATAGCCCCTGTAGTAGACGGTGTCGCCCCGGTCATCGGCTACTGTAAAGCCAAAGTCGGAAAGGAATTCGCGTGCTTTGGCGAGATCGGAGTGCGTGTAGTACACATGTGCGATGCGCACTAGATTGATTTTGGTGTGATGCTGCGCCATGGTGCAGGAGTTTATGTCCCTCTCGTTGGTTGTTGTCGTGGGAGTGTCAGCCGGAGGGTGGTATGGTGGGATCTATGTACAGGAGGAGGCCAAAGGGTAGGCGAAATATGCAAACTAGGATGGTTATGAGTAAGAAGGTGGGAGTAAAAGTATTGCCGAGTTTTGGGAAGCAAAGATAGTTAGGTTTCTAGTTGATGTCATCCACTTTCGGGGCGGTTCTACGAATAGTTCGACCGAAATCTCCCCGAGCGCGGCGCCTCGCCAGATTGAGCCAGGCGTCGGCAGGGGTTCGCCACCGCTGACTGCGCTCTGTTCCATCAGTTGTGCAGAGTTATCCTTCGCAATCCATTTGTCATGGCTGACGGGTTGACCGACATTCAACATGGAACTAGGGTATGCCTTGGCCTTCGCGGGGCCAGATGCGGTTCACGATGCACGAAGCTTCAGTTTCACGATCGGCGCCGCTTTAAATTTCGAGGTCGCCCAGTATCTCCTCGCCGTCTATTCTCCATCGCGACAGTCAACACAAGCAACTCGAGTTACTCTTGTTTATTCAGTGAAGTACGAACCAAAGTGGCTGCACGATGTCGAATGAAATTGTCAAGACCGATCTCTTGATCGTCGGAGCTGGCCCCGCCGGCGCAGCCCTGGCCTGTTTTCTCGCCTCTTATGGTTGGTGCCTCTATTCCACGTCGTCTCAAGATACGTTTGCTGACATCGCTTTGTGTCCAGGGTTGACGGGGATAATGATCTCGGCGGCGCTGGGGACCGCCGACACCCCTAGAGCGCACGTAACCAACATGGCCGCCCTCGAGTGTCTTAGAGACATTGACCTCGAGAAGCAATGCATCGAAGCCGGAGCTAGTGGAGACCACATGATCCATACGAGATGGTGTCATTCGATGGCCGGGGAGGAATATGCTCGTCTCTACTCCTTCGGGAATGATCCGAAGCGCAAGGTAGGGGGGCCGTGAAGATCACCTCACTCTCATATTCATAATTCTGACTTCGAACGCAAACAGGCCGATTACGATGCCGCCAGCCCCTGCGATCACATTGACCTCCCGCAAACTCTACTCGAACCGATCCTGACGCGGAGAGCCGTGGCCAAAGGATGGACACTGCGGTTCAACACAACCTTTCTCACCTTCGCCCGCCCCTCGGACGAAAGAGATGTCATCATCAGCACGATTCGGGACGACCTGTCGAACCAAACCTACAAGATCCAGTCCCGCTTCCTCTTTGGTTGCGATGGCGCACGAAGCCAAGTTATCCGCGAGCTCGGTATTCCCCTCATCAGGAAACCGGGTCAGGGGCAGGCGCTCAATGTGTTGGTCAAGGCCGATTTGTCCCACCTTGTGAAAAGCCGCGCGGGCAACCTCCACTGGGTGTTCCAACCTGAAAAAGAGCTCCCCGTATGGGGTTGGTCATGCGTCTTGCGGATGGTACGGCCGTGGACTGAGTGGATGTTCGTCTTCATGCCGCGCCCCGGAGGTGATCTCACGGGCGATGACATGAATGCCTCACATGAACAGTATCTCTCCAGGCTGAAGGAAGTGATCGGCGACGACTCGGTGGATGTAGAGATCCTGCACGTCAGCAAGTGGAAGATCAACGAGATCGTGGCCGAGTACTATTCGGACGGCAATATCTTCTGCTTAGGCGACGCCGTTCATCGCCATCCGCCCTTCAACGGCTTAGGCTCCAACACGTGCATCCAAGACGCCTTTAATCTGGCATGGAAGGTATCATATGTCATGTCCGGGCGCGCCGGGCCGCAGCTCCTCGACAGCTATAGCGCGGAGCGCCAGCCGGTCGGTTTCGACATCATCACGCGGGCCAACCAAGGCCTGCGTGATCATATACCGTGGATGCAGGCCATCGGCATGACGGAAGTCGAGGTAGACAAGAGGAGAGGGCTACTCGCCGAGTTCGATGATAAGGGTGTGGTTGGGCGGAAAAGGAGGCAGGAGTTCCGCGAGGGCATTGAGAAGACGCGGACTGAGTTCCACGGTCTGGGCATCGAAATGAACCAGCAGTACCGCTCCGGTGCCGTCTACCTTGACGACGAGCCCGAAGCCCCGCCGCTCCCGCATGAAGTTGTCCTTGAACGACTAATTAGCACCTACCCTGGCATGAGGCTGCCACATGCATGGCTCAACACCCGGGTGCCGGGTCAACAGTTCTCTACCATCGACCTTGCTGGCCATGGGGGGTACTGTTTGATCACAGGACCGGGTGGGAATTCCTGGAAGGGGGCCGCGGAACAGGTTTCCAAAGCGGTAAACGTCCCGATCAAGAGCTATTCCATTGGATGGAACGAAGACTATGAAGACGTGTACTTTGACTGGGAGAAGCGGAGGGAAGTCGAGGAGGATGGGTGCGTGCTTGTCCGGCCGGACCGCTTCGTTGCCTGGCGCTCGAAGTCGTTGAGCAAGGACCCCAAGGGCAAGTTGGAAACGGTCATGAGGAAAGTTCTGTCTCTGTGATCATTACGGGTTAGGTCCCCAGGAGAGCCGGGGCCCGCAATATAATGTTCATCGGCAACATGTTCCATAATTTCCATCCATTTCCTACCTAGACAATCTGCAATGCATAGGTACCTACTCAGGCCCTCTCTCATATTGCCAGTTGCCACTGACATGTCGCCCATGCCTGGCCTCAGAGCCGTGTCTCATATTACTAATGAGCGGCTTCCATACGTCCGTCTTAAAACTTGGATGTGGGACCGAGAGTCGTCCCTCAAGGACAGAAATACAACCCAAGAGCCAACACTAGCGCCGATCGAAGCCCCCGCTCTCCCCACCATTCCCCAACTTCCCCGTGTTTCCCCAGGTTCCCAGGATTGACGTTGACCCCTCCCTCTGACCAAAAAATGCCGAACTCGATAGTTATGACAGAAACAAATCAAGAAAAGAGAAAGAAGCACAAAAGAAGACGAGAAAAGAAAGGTAAAGAAAACCGAGCAAAAAAAAAAACAAATAGAAACAAGTCAATTAAATTAAAAAGTAGACTTTGGTCTTCCAAATAGGCTTTCTTTTCGCTCTTCTCGTCAAAGCTTTCGTCGGTGCCTACTCAAGCAGACACACTTGAAGTTCGGCTTTCTTTGTCCACCGGGCGGCCCCATTCCCCCGGATGTTGGGGAATCGACCCGAGACTAAGGACAGGCCAATGACCAACCCTCGATCAATATTTGACCGACGGTGGTGTTCTCCTCAAACAGGTTAGTTAGGTGGCTTGAGAGGTTGGCTACGGTACTAAAGGGGCCTCCAACATGATGCCAGGGCCACCGTTATCTGCAAGTCCTTCGCCATTGTGACTTGCACACGCACACCGTTCACCCCATTAGACCACCATGTTGACTATCGTGGGTGGAGTAGCCGTCCTGGCCGTAGTCACGGCAGTTTACCTAGTCTTGACTGTGGGAAAACGGAACCCTAAATTACCACCAGGTAGGCTTCAAGTTTTGAAGCTCGATCTGCCTCAGTTGTGACGCTGACATTGATCATCAAGGACCTCCGACCTGGCCGATCATCGGCAACCTACACCAAACCCCCACCAAACGCACCCATCTCCAGTTCGCAAAATGGGCCAAACAATACGGCGGGATCTACTCGCTCAAGTTCGGCCCGGGCACCTCCATCGTCATCTCGTCGCCGCGCCTCATCAAGCAGCTGGTAGACAAGAAGTCGAACCTGTACAGCCGCCGGCCGCCCTCGCACGTCGGCGGCATCATCTCGGGCGGCGACCACCTCCTGTTAATGCAGTACTCGGATTAGTGGCGGACGTGCCGCAAGCTGGTACACCAGTTCTTCCGCGAGGACATGGTTATGAAGCATCACATTGAGGTTGTGGATGCCGAGGCCGTCCAGATGCTCCGTGACTTTGTGGTGCAACCCGAAGGTTGCATGAGGCATCCCAAGCGGTTCAGCAATAGCATCATCATGAGCTTGAGTAAGCTGACAACCTACTTCTTTTACTGAACATTGCGCCTGGACGACCACCTTCTAACCCGCACACACAGTCTACGGCACGCGCACGCCCACCATCAAGACCAAGCACATGGTGAAGCTGTACGCGCTGATGGAGAACTGGTCCAAGGTGATGGAGGCGGGCAACACGCCCCCGGTCGACATCTTCCCGTTCCTCAAGCTGGTGCCGGAGCGGTTCCTGGGCATGTGGCGATCGCGGGCGCAGGACGTCGGCCGCGAGATGAACGCCCTCTACAGCGAGTGGCTCGAGTACGTGGTGCGGCGGCGCCAGGACTCGGGCAGCCGCGACTGCTTCCTCGACCGCGTGCTGGACCAAGGCGAGAAGGTCGGTTTGGACAAGCACGGCATCTACTTCCTGTGTGGGACCGTCATGGAGGGCGGCTCTGACACCACCAGCTCGCTGATTATTGCCTTTTTGCACGCCATGACCAAGTGGCCGGCGGTGCTGCGCAAGGCACAGGCCGAGATGGACGCGGTGGTTGGGGAGGAGCGCACGCCGACGTGGGCGGACCACGCGCGGCTGCCGTACGTGGCGGCGTGCGTCAAGGAGGCGCACCGGTGGCGGCCCGTGACGCCGCTGGCGTTCCCCCACTCGCTGACTGAAGACGACTGGGTCGACGGCATGTTCCTGCCTCGCGGTAGTGACATTTTTATTAACGCTTTCGGCATGCACCACGACGAGGCCCGCTTCCCGGACCCGGACACCTTTGACCCGGCCCATTACGAGGGTTTCACGGGGTTGGGGTCTGAACTGGCCAACGGTGACTACGCAAACCGTGACCACTACGATTACGGCAGCGGCCGCCGCCTGTGCCCGGGCATCCATTTGGCGGAGCAGAATCTGTTTCTGACACTGGCTAAGCTTGTGTGGGCGTTCGATATTGGACCGGGCAAGGACGCGGCGGGAGAGGTCATCGAGCCAGATGTTAGTAACGAGAAGGGATATTGCTCCGGGTTCTTGGTATGTGCGGAGGACTTCCCGTGCACCATCACGGTAAGGTCCGAGCCGAGGAAAGCGACGATTTTGAGGGAGAGTGACAAGGCCACGGCAGAGGTGTTTTCTCGCTATGAGACGCCAAAGGAATAAAGCGGGAATGTTGAATTGTGGTTTGTGTGTTTGTTCAATGTATTATCTAAGATATCCATAAATCTACGTGTACCTCAACCTCAGACTCTCCGTATCCTCGAAGCTCAAGCTGGTGGCAACATCCCCTTGGGTAAAGTGCCACCCCTAGGTTAAAAAAGGCGAACTCGAAAGAAAGAAAAGAAAGAAAAGAAAGAAAAGAAAGAAAAGAAAGAAAAGAAAGAAAAGAAAGAAAAGAAAGAAAAGAAAGAAAAGAAAGAAAAGAAAGAAAAGAAAGAAAAGAAAGAAAAGAAAGAAAAGAAAGAAAAGAAAGAAAAGAAAGAAAAGAAAGAAAAGAAAGAAAAGAAAGAAAAGAAAGAAAAGAAAGAAAAGAAAGAAAAGAAAGAAAAGAAAGAAAAGAAAGAAAAGAAAGAAAAGAAAGAAAAAAGAAGGAAAAAAGAAAAAGGAGACAAAAAGAGAAAGAGAAAGGAAGGAAATAAAAAAGATGTAAAAGAAACCATAACTAGTAGAAATAGACTAAATAAAAAAAACCGAGTTAAATGAAAGTAAAAAGTAGACTTGGAGCTTCTTAGAATAGCTAGCTTTCTTTTCATTTCCTAGGTCATCCATGGTTCCAGCGGTATTACCTCCACTTGGGTAGAGTTCGGCGGGTTTTTTAAAGCACGGTTGAATGACTCAACACCGGGTTGGGGGAATTGCTCCGAGCCCGTGTTAATCGACCCGAAGTGGAGCGAGCGGGCAGAATCGATGATCGAAGGGCGCTGGGCAGTCTCATTCGGCATCCCCTATTAACTGCCGAACACCAAATGTTTGACAAATGGGTTGCTTGGGTAAGTTAGTTGTAATGTTGGGTAAGCAGGACGAAGCGGTTTATAGACATGTAGCGCCGCCTTGTTTCCTCCGTGATCGTCCGTCTTTTCCCGTCTCTTCCCATCTCCCAAACACACACCCAACAGCATCTGTATCATGACTTTCCAACGACTCGTTCGATTCGTCAATGCCCAAGGCGCTACTAACTTCGGTGACCTAAAGAGCGAGCCAAGCGGTGATTTGAGGGGCGCCGGGGTCGAGGTGCTCGAGGGAGATGTCGAAAACGGGTTTCGCGGGACTGGAAGGATGGACAAGATCGAGAAGCTGTTGTCACCTCTGGCTAAAGTCCCCCTTGTTTATCTGCATCGGGTTAAACTATCAGAAGCACGCCACGGAAGCCAATGTATGGCCCCCATACTCCTCTCGTGCCACTCATCGCGAAAACACTGACGCATGCGTACAGCTCCGGGTTCCGCCGTACCCCGTCGTCTTCACCAAGCCAGCCGACGCCCTAGCCGGCCCTTTTGACGATGTGTCCATCCACCCTGACGCGCAGAATATGCTCGACTACGAAGGCGAGATGACGGTCGTTATCGGGAGGGACGCGAAGAACGTGACCGAAGCAGACGCATTGAGCTACGTGCTTGGCTACACGGTGGGCAACGACGTGTCAGCGCGTAACTTCCAGCTGCCGGACACGTCAGGGGGCCAGTTTTGCTACGCCAAATCGTTTGACGGGTTTGCGCCCATCGGTCCTTGCATCGTGCCTCCGAGTCTAGTGCCCGACCCGCAAGAGCTACGGCTCGAGACGCGGGTGAATGGCGCTGTGCGACAGAGGACCGGGACCGATGACATGATCTTCTCGGTCGCCAAGATCATTGCGCATCTCAGCCGAGGGACCACCCTCAGGAAAGGCACTATCATCCAGACAGGCACACCGAGCGGAGTCGGCCTGTTTATGGAACCGAAGGGGTTTTTGCAAAATGGCGACGTGGTTGAAGTGTCAATTGAGGGAATAGGCAAGATTCGCAACAAGATGGTGTTTGAGTAGGGTCCTACGGGTTACTGTGGATGCCAATGGATTGGTGCACTCCACGGCAGCTCATCCAAGGCAAAAGCTCTCAAGCTGTGGCACCCTTTCCTGTCAATTCTTTACTATTTGGCATCGGCTGAATTCGTTCCTTCTACCAGTTTGGTCCATTGCTCTTGTGCATCAGATGATTTGAGAGCAGGAGAGACCAAGTGCAATCATCTGTCCGCCCAACGCCCTCCGGTTTTCGATGTGGTGTGGTTCTCACCTTAACAACAACAGCAGTAGGAGCGATTACAGACTTAGGATGGGGTGAGTAAGCCAGCAGGGAGAACTGACGGGGCTGGGCAAGATCTATACTATCCCTATACTAAGGTTAAATGTAGAAGGTCAACGCACTAACTGCTGATATGATCGTGATGTTGGCCACTTTCAACCCGCTTGACTTGTTGCGGGAAGCCGTTATCCTGTTGCCCAACGTCCTGGCCTGGGTCGGCCTGTATACTTAGTACGACGGGCGACCAGACGATCGCCAAATTGATCCTCTACGCTGGCGAGGATATCCCCAATGGGAGATGTGTTGTGCAAGGGATTGTTCCCCGTGCGTGCTGGGGGGGGGGAGGGGGGGCACTGGGGGTACTGCATGACTCCGCCGCCTTGATGGTCCCGCGGTGATAGGGTCGTACTCCGCTGCCTCGACGGTTCGGGGTCCCACGATGATGAGGCTGGTAAACATGACAAACCCTCTTCTTGGCGTTGATTGAGGTAAAACTATTGAATGGAGGTAAGCGAATGTAACAGGAAGTGCCTTGTCGGAATCGGGGCCCAGCATCTCGTCGTAAATAGGACCTCGGAACCCGCCCTACGGCCGCTAAGAGCGGTTAACGTCTCTATCAAACTCGGAAAAAGAAGAGGCAGGATGTGACGTGTGGCCCCTCTGTATGCTGTGTCGGAAACAGGTTGACGGGTCTGTTTGTCCCAGCAATGTACGAGAAGAGGTAGGCCCGAACCTTGCCTCCTAGGTTGGTGAGGTCCCACAGGAGGCCCAACTGCAGTGGGTCTTCAGACTCTCTTTCGTAGCGCCCGAAATCGTCCCACAGTGGGTGCTTTAGGTTGAAGTCTCCTGCCAGAACCACCAGGTGGCTTGGCCTTGGCCGCCCTTGGAGGGCTCTCGGTACGTTCTCGCCGGCGGGGGGGTTGTATATGGACCAAAGCTCGAATCCGCGGCTTTCCCTTCCGAGGTCCGCCTCTGGGAACCACACGCGGCACCAATTCTCCGTGGCTTCGGAGTCCCACTGCCTGATTTCAAATCTTTTGCTTACATATATTGCCGCCCGCCCCTCGAGTTTATGTACCAGGTGGTATCTGCTGCTCCGGGGGCAGTATGTGGATTTTGTCGCCTTGTTGTATCCACGGTTCTTGCACCGCCAAGAGGTCATATTTGGCCTCTTCCAGCAAGACTTCCAGTCTTTGCTTGTTTCCTTCGGTGCTCCAGAGTAGAATTCTAATTTTCATCGCCTGCGACGGTGATCGAGTCCATCGTGGTGTCTCCCTCGGCGTCGCGTTGGTTCGGAGTGGCAGTGACCGCAGGGTTGGCGGCGGCGGTAGGCGTTGGTCCGGTAGCCGGCTCGGGCGCTCGGGGCGGCAGGGCGGTGGTGTCGACACCGCTGACTACCGGGCTTGCGAATCGCACCCCCGGCGCCTCGAAGTTGATCCTGGTCTGCTGGGGGTCCAAGAGAGCCTGACGTTGGGCTGCAGCCACATTCGTCGGTCTTCCTCTCAGCCTCTTCCTGCCTACCACCTGGTAGCTGTCGTCCTCCCTCTCTTCAGCGCCGAAGCTGAACGTGGGGGCGCTCGTGTGAGTCGCGATGGCAGTGATCGTGGTTACGGTCTCGTATGTCCGTGGTCGGAATTGGTAGGCCTCCTTGGCCTTCGCCAGGACCTTCGACTTCCCCCGGGCACTCTCCTGACCACGCCGGATGTCTTCCTCCGCAGGCCGGGCACCGTAGCGGAATTTCGTTTTTGTGAGTAGGGCACTGGGCCTCGCCTTCCCTGCCGCCCTCTCCATGGGCTTTGGGTCCCGCAACGCGGGCACAATGGAGTCGCCTTGCAATAGTGCTGCGTGTGCCCCCACTTCCAGCACTTGTAGCACTGCGTTGGGCTGAGGGCGGCCCAGTAAGGCTCGCAGTCCAGTAGTTGAGCCCTCCAGATCACTCCCTCGTCGCACGCCTTGTGTGCTTCCTCCTGGGAGGTTAAAGCGACCAGCACCGTTGCCCGGGTCGCCTCCCTGTGTCTCGGCACTCTAAACTTCACTTTATCGACTGTGTGGAGGCCAGTTTCCTTCCCGAACTCCTCCTCGGTGACCCCTTGGAGGTTCGTCTTCCACACGCCTTTCAGCTGCACTGCAAAGGTTCGCTTGCTCTCTTCGGCCTGCTCTCCAAAAGCCTCCCTGACCCAGTTGGTGTTCGTCGAGTACCAGTCTCTTGCCCCTGCGCTCTGGAATGTGACGATTGTGTCGCCGCTGGGGAGCCTTCGGGCTGCGACTGCTCCCTTCCTGACTGACACTTGGTTGACCGCCTGGATGGTTTCTTGCGGGGTGCGCTTCGCGAGATCGGCTGGCATTCCTCTGCCTCTGACCAGGATCTCCTTATTTATGCGGGTCAGCACTATCTTTGTCGAGGTGTTAGGTTGTGACTGAGGGGGGACAGCCCTGTGAGCAGCCACTGCGGCCCAGGTTCCTTTGTCCTAGGTCCCGGCTCCATTAACAGCTGCCTTCACTTCCTCGGCCACCACCTTGCGGAGGTTGGCCAGCGAGATGTTTCCAGTCTGTGACTGAGACGCGCCGTACATTTTCCGGACGGCTGCTAGCAGGTCCTGTCCCCATGCCTCTGGCTGTCCCCTTTCTTCTCGGGGGTCTGCTAGTCCCCACCCAGCTCGTCAACCATCTTTCTTGATCCTGTCCGGGAGGACAATATTGCGCTCAAACTTTTTGGAAATTACTATGGGGAAATTGATTAAGCAAAAATTACTATGGGAAATTGATAAGCAAAAATTACTACGGGAAATTGATAAGCAAAAATTACTCTGGGAATTGATATCCTTATCGCGATGGCCGATTGGTTCGTGAGCACGCTGCACTCGATGTTGGTCACATGCCTCATTGGCTCTGCCGAAACTGCTTCATCTCCGTGTCCTCGCAATCCGCTCGACAATCGCGAACATCGCGGTTCTCGCCGTTTCCACATCTACCGCTTTTCAAACCCAGGCCTTTCTATGGAAGACGTGATAGTCGTTCTGGGCGGCACTGCCGAGGCCGCTGCGGAGACAGCCGTGACACGCAAGTCGTGTACCAAATGCAATACTGAGCAGAACATTGACCAGTTCCTCCATGCCCGCGGGAACGGAAGGATTGTTGTCAACTGTCTAAGTTGCCGGCACAAGAAGAAGCTTCATGTGATATCCCTAGTTAAGGTAACGATAGTCGTTTCTTCAGCTAACCTTCGCAGATTGAAGCGTCGCGAGCGAGCATCGAGATTTCTCGCGCAATCGCCCGCGGAGAAAATTCTCCCCTTCCTTTCGCACCGGTGCTTACACCTGGGCCTCAACGGAACCTTACCCACGGCGTCCTTGCTACCATGTATCACGAAAGGGGCCGCGTTCTTACAGATACCCCGGAAACGGCAGCCGCTCGGGATCAACGATTGACAATCCAGCGACGCCACCGCGTGGAACGACGCCATGGCGTGCAGCCTTCGCAAACCCCGACGTTAAGCAGCTAGCCATTGCCATGGGCTCTACTGGTTCCATGGGAGCCCCCCTCCTGATATGGAAACTCCTGAGTCGAGAAAGCACTTCGCAAAGATCTGGGGATACCACGTCACAGCTGTGAACCCGCAGCGAGATCATGGTGCTGACGAGGGTAACCCTTTATCTGTTGACCCTCTAGAGACGGACGTTACCTGGGAGTGGCTGAACAGAATTGTCAACCGCTGCCAGCGACACCATTGCTCGACGACTTACTGTCTTCGGGTGACGAAGAAAGGTGCCCGGCGGGCTAGAGAGGCTGGAGATAGAGCTGAGGTCGCAGAGGCGGCCGGGGAGACTGCTGGAGGAGAGCAGCCAGCGCCAGAGCCCACGTGTCGTTTTCTCTTCCCCCGGCCTGTCCGAGAGGCTGCCGAGGTCATCAAGCATCTATCCCACCAAGGGCCAGGTCATCGAGTACAACCACCAACACATGCTTGGCCTGGACAGCCCCGCCATTCAGGTCGAGGCAAAGCACGAGGGTGTTGGTGCGGAGAAGGTTGAATCCTCAAATGCCGGCAACTTGGCCAAGCGCTTGCCCTTGTGTGGTGGTTGCCGGGTGATGCTAACGCGGAACTTGTGGGCGGACGTCGGGCTCGTCAACGGTGCGCAAGGCACAGTCTACGACATATCCTGGAAAGAAGGTGCTGACGTGCTGCGAGACCCGCCCGAGGTCATCATGGTGGCCTTCGACGACTACGACGGCCCCGCCTTCACGATGCCGAACGGGGAGCCGCTCCGCAGTGGAGAGAAGCTGGTTGTTCCCATCCTCCGAGTGCGGCAGGACTTCATGGTCGGCGCCAACTCATGTTCAAGAGAGCAGTTCCCGCTGTTGGTCAGCTATGCGATCACCGTCCACAAGTCACAGGGCATCACCCTGGACAAGGTTGTCTGCGACATCTCTGCGCCAGAGTTTGCTTCTGGCCTCTCCTACGTGGCCGTTTCGCGGGTGAAGACACTCGGCGGGCTGATGTTTGAGCGGCCCTTCGACCGCGGCAGGGTGTACCGCGAGACACCATCACGAGCTATGGGGTTGAAGTTGTCCGATCACGCTACTAGGCAACTGCAGGCGTTAGATGCTGTGGCGGTGGGTTTATAAGTAGCAACGACGAGAGTGTAGAGGCATGAGTACTTAGAACGATAATAGAAATGATTGGTATAAGTGTGATAAGAAGCTCAAAGGGTTGGAGTTATTGGCCGACGGACAGATATTGGCGCTTCGTCTCTCCCGTATTCAACCCTAACCCGGATTGTCCTCCGGAGAGGGACAGGAAAATTGCCAGGAGCGGGAGAGAGGGGGGAAGCGCCCCGTAGCGTAGCGAAGGGCCGCGCGACTGACGAACGAAGCGACGCCAGCAATTTTAACTGGGGCACACCGAATTCAGGGGCTTCGGGTGAAATATCAGGGTTAGGGTCCACTGCACAACAACGCGAAGAGCGATCAATTTCCAAGTCGCGTTCAACATCGAACATCTCTCAAGACAGCAACAATAAGAGATGACGACTCGGAGGAGCGCGCGCATTGCGACTAGAGTTCCCGTGGCCGGGGAACGCGCTGCACGATCAAAACAAGAGCATGACGAATCCGACGACAGCGAGTCCCAATCGGAACAAGAATATGCATCATCATCGGAATCCACGGACCCTGAAACCCGCCCAGCCAAGCGCCGCAAAACACAACCACCACGACGCCCCCCTAGGCCACACCCGAGAGCATCTCTAAAAACCACATCCACCACCGCCTCCCACCATGCTGGCACCACCCCCAACACCCCGCCTCCAGTCCCCAAAACCCGCTTCCATCCCCCCACCTACCACCAGCCCCTCCTGCTCACCAACCCCCCTTCCCGCACCTCCCTCCTAACCTGGTTCACGCACGCCCGCACCCTGCGCCCCATGCCCTGGCGCCAACCTTTCCAGCCCCGCGGCACTCTTACGCGCAGCCAGCTCTCGCGCCGCGCCTACGAGGTCTGGATCTCCGAGGTCATGCTGCAGCAGACGCGGGTCGCGACCGTGGTTGCATACTGGACACGTTGGATGGCGCGGTGGCCGCAAATTGGGGATTTGGCGGCGGCGGAGGAGGAGGACGTGCTGGGCGTGTGGCAGGGTTTGGGGTATTATTCGAGGGCGAGGAGGGTGTGGTTGGCCGCGAGGGAGGTGTGTGCAGTCGGTGATGGTGATGGTGATGGTGATGGTGGTGAGGATGGGGATGGGGGTGGAGAGGGGATTTTGCCGGGGACGGTGGAGGGGTTGATGCGTCTGCCGGGTGTGGGGAGGTATACGGCGGGTGCGGTGGCGGCGATTGTGTTTGGGGTGGCCGCGCCGATGGTGGATGGGAATGTGTTAAGGGTGTTGAGCCGGCAGATGGGGCTGTTGGCGGATGTGAAGGCGGACAAGAAGGCCGTGGATCTGCTGTGGGAGGCAGCGGGAGATTTGGCAAAGGCCGTGGCCGAAGATGGGGAAGATGGTGATAAGGGGGTTAATGAGCGGCCAGGGCAATGGGGCCAAGCATTGATGGAACTGGGTAGCACCGTTTGCACGCCGAAGCCCAATTGCGCGGCGTGCCCCATCACAGAGACTTGCCGCGCTTATGCTGAGGGCCTTGCTTTGGCAGAGGGCCGGGGTAAGGACAGGGAGTTGACGGATATCGAGGACGGTTGCAATCTCTGTGCCCCCATTGAGGAGGCCGCTTCGGATGGGGATGAGGCGGATAAATACACGGAGCCACCGCCCAGCAAGGGGGATGGGAAACTCTCCCGTTTCTTTGCGGACACAAAGAGGGCCAAACAGCCTAACACCGCCGCTCAAGATCTGGATACTCGAACGCTCGCGGTCGTGGTAAATCACGCAAGGAAATTCCCACTCAGGAAGCCTAAGAAGAAGGTCCGCGAAGAAGAAGCGTTAGTGTGTGCTGTCCGTGGCTCCGACGGGCGGTACCTCATCCACAAACGGCCGGACAAGGGGCTCCTCGGAGGATTGTGGGAGCTCCCCAGCCAGACGTTACCGCCATCGAACGACAGCACGGTCAAGACTCGGAAAGCGAGGGCGACATCCTACGTTGCGGGTGTGGCTGGAGGAAAGGGTTCTTGTTCACCACCGCTGAAGCATGTTGCAGAACTTGGAAGTGTGCCCTGGCTATTTTCTCACCTAAAGCTGATCATGCATGTCCACCTCTTCGAGATGGACGGCGTTTCACCCTTGGCTAAGCTGGGCCCGCGGAGGCAATGGGTTTCCGTAGAAGAAATTGACGCCGAGTCCATGGGGACTGGGATGAAGAAGTGTTGGTCACTTGTCAAGAAAAGGATGGCGGAGGTGGACAACGAGGTGCAATAACTACCCATTAATATCTTACACTATTTTGTATACACCAGGTAAACTCAAATACCCCTTGGGCGATGGTCCAGCACCCAAAGGGTCAGCACTTTCTTGAAAAACAACACTGCTCCAGTTTGCCATTGCCTCCTCAACGCCCTCTCGCGTTAAAGCATGAGGGCATACCCGGACAAACGAGTAGTGGTCCGGCTTTCCTCTCTTCTGGCGTAGCAGCAAGGTCAGGCCGGGATGAACCTCGACCAGCACCTCGTCCATACGCAGCTGACGGACATTCTCGATTGACCGTGCAGTGCTATTTGAGGGACCGTCTCTGGCAAAGAATCCCCTAACGACCCTCGGCCGAACGATCGTCATTACCAACTGCTGGTCTCCGTTATTGTCAAACTTCAACGCGCCATCCTTCTCGTGTCCTGCCCTGCACCGACCCGGAGATGCCGCCGCCCCAAGTGCCCTACAGTCCGGCCACGGAGCAGCCCAGTCGATGGACCATGATGGTAAACCTTCCACCTGTGGTCGAGCGTTGATGAGGGCGAGTATTAGCCCCGGCCCGTGACTTTTGATCAACCAAGCTGAATAAGCAGCGTAGACCTGGGCGACCGTTTGTCCGTAGTCAACCGGTTCCCAGGCGGGAAGTGCAGGGCCGTCCAAGCGCTTTGCGATATTGAGTGCTGCAGAGATCCTGTCCCTTGGATCTTCGCACTGGAGGTGCCGTGTTTCGAAGAGGACATTCAAGAGACACGACTGTTTCTGCACGCCAGGAGCCCTCAGAGGCCGAGCTAAACGGGAGAGCTTGGCGACATTCCACGTATTCGGCTGGCCCCTGGTCTTGGAGCTTGGAGAGATATACTATCCGCGCGCCCGTTGTCGTTTTCTCTCCGCACACGAAGCGGACTCTCGCGAGTTCCGGAAGCCCAACCTCCTTCAATGTCCACAGGCGCTTGAACCATTCCCGGTTGAAGAATGCCGCCAGCACCCGCTCCAAATTCTCTGGCCGCGGCGGCCGCTCAACCGGAGCAAGTCCGAGAACCGCGACACAGTACTGCTCCTGCGCGAGCTCCCACGCCTGGGCCCCCTTTGCACCCAGAACTCTCCATACCCGCCTTCAACCTATCCAACAGCTCATCCGCGCGGTCCCTGCACACCCTCCCCACCAACCCTGCCCACCCACTCCCTAACCACTCTCTCCACCCTCGATCCTCTGCACCTCCCCCTCTCCCTCACACTCCCAC